TAATTAATTATGTAATAACTGTTGTTGGTTTGCAACCATGAAGTTGCATCAACTACATTAAAATTAAAAAATTTATAATGTAAAGAATTGTTTAGTCTGGTCATTTGTTTTGATAATTTTTTAAAGGGTAATTATTTTCATGTCTACCTTTAGAAATTATTCAGATTTTTTGCTTAGTAATTTCTCTTGATCCAAATGAGTTTTAATTTTAAATTTTTCTTGTAAACATTTTTTGGAATTATAGGCGCAGTCTCTTTTGACTATTTTAACATAAATAAAACATAAATATAAAAAATACTCAAAAGAGACTATGCTGTCAAAAAATTTAGGCAATTAAAAAAGTATATATTAGTTTTCAATTAAACTAGTCTATTCTAAAAACTTTTTTTTTTTTTAAAAAAAAAACATTTTTTTATTACTAGGTGCCAGTCTCCTGTTGGATATTACTCAGCTGGATTTGATTCTATGAAGTTTGGTGGTAGTTGTATGCAGTTATCTGTTATGGTTCATGAACTTTTGCATGTTTTGGGATTTGGTCATGAACATCAAAGAGTTGATCGTGATAAATATATAGTGGTGAACTATACCAATGTGCAAAGTGGTAAGTCTGATTAAAAGATTTTTTGTTTTGTTTTGTTTTGTTTTGTTTAACTAACTACCAGGCCAGTTAATAAGTTTCTAGAATAGAAATGAAAAACATAATTTTATGGCTTGAAATGCATATTATTATTCAGTATATTCTCCCAGAAGCTCAAAGGAAGGCCTGCAAAATAACCCTTTTTTTTTCTGCAAACCGGATCTTTTTTCACAATTTCTGGACACGAACTCGCTTTAGAGCCGAAGATACAGGCCCACACCACTCTTTATCTTTATCTTGTTTTGATTTAGGACCATGGTAATAGACCCAAGTCTCATCCATAGTGACGAATCGATGCACAAAATTCTTTTTATCCTTTCGAAATTGCTCTAAATGTTGTTGAGAAAGTCACATTCAAAGGTGCTTTTATTGCATTGTTAGCAAATACGGCACCCATTGTGCACACAGCTTTTTTAAACCCAAAATTTAAAAATATTCATCAAAATTTACCAGTATGTAGTTGAATAATAAGAGTTTGTAATCTTCATAACCGACTATAGAAGAAATGAAGAGAAGAATGAATTTGAAAAAAAGTTAAATAGATGAATTTTATGAAGATGTAAAATGTAAAGAAGTTTTTTCCACCAAAACTTCTTTACATTTTACATCTTCATAAAATTCATCTATTGAACTTTTTTTCAAATTCATTCTTCTCTTCATTTCTTCTATAGTCGGTTATGAAGATTACAAACTCTTATTATTCAACTACATACTGGTAAATGACTCACTATCTATCCACACTTGGGGTTTGGCTTAAAAGTTCATTTTTTATTTTTTTTGGAAATGGCATAACTGAAAAAGACAAACATTTTCTTGTATTAACATAAATACTAATACTTTTTTCCAAATCGAAAAAAAACTCCCTCACCAGTGCAGATAAAAATTTGTAAACCAAATTTCTGCTGCTAAAAAACTGTTTAAGACTGCTAAGTCTGAAAATACACAAAATTCAAATTTTTTGCATTTTATGGTAGGGGCAGTATCATTTACAAATACTTTAAAAATACCATGAAAATTATTTGTGTAGCTTGATCTATCTGATTTTAGATTATGTTTTATTATTTGGTAAAGATGATGGGAACGGTAGTTCTTGACTATTTAAAGTTATGTGTATATTTAGAAGGTTTTGGGGAGGAAGCATCGTATTTTTTGCTATGTTCTTTAAATATAAAACATTTTTTAAACTGTGCATTTTTTTGTTAAAAGAAAGACTAATTTAAGTTTTTTTATCCAAGATTTTTTATTTGTTAATTTAAATTTTAAATAATAATAAGCAACAACCATTAAATTTGCTTTAAAATTGACTTCTTTTGTTTCTAAAGGTTTCAATTTTTTGACCAAGTTTATTAGCACATTTTGCACCATAATTTAAAACAAGATGACCAGTGACAGATTTTTTAAATCTTTTATAATCTGGAATTAAGTCTCAATTCAGTTTTCATTCTATCTCATGTAATGTCATTTTTAACATGTCATCAAAAAACTAGGTCCAAAAAAACTTTAATTATCATATAACTAACTGGTTTTGCTGTTAATTGACTTTGTGCTGATTTAAGAGCTAATTTATGCAATTGATTTACAAATAAACATTTATTAGCTTGGCACCTAGCCTAAAATCTTTTATTTAAATGTATTTTTTTTGAATGTTTTGCAATCTCTTTTGATTATTAAAAAAATTTAAATTTTCTTGACTTTTGTTTCATCTTTTAATATGAGATCTTTACAGTTTTTCTGATTTTCATCCTCTTTTAAAAAATCACATTTATCTTTGTTTACGTTTTTTTTATTTTTTTTGTGTTAAAAAAGAAAGCCCTTTTTGTCATATGTCTTTTCTTTTTCTTTTTTTTGTTTTTTTTTTTTCATTTGTTAATTTATTTGATTTGGTGTTTTTTTTTTTTTTTTTTTTTGGACTGAATTATGAATTTATAAGTAGACTTTGATATATATTATTAATTCATTTGATTTGGTTTTTAATTTTTTTTTTTTTTTTTTTTTTTTTTTTTGCTTTTATAAGTCTTTTATTTTAATACTTTTATCTAAATTTATCTATTAATGGCTTTTATCTAAATGGCCCTAAATTTATCTATTAGTCAATCTAAATGGCAAATCAAAAGTTCATTAAAGATTTTTTTTAAACTAAAAATATTTATATCTTGATAATTTTAATCATGAAAATATATTACTTTATTAACCCTTTATAGCCTGGTGTTTTAAAAAATTAAAAAAAATTAAAAAACTATTACTGATGCATCACTGTGTTGTTTTTGCTTGTTACTAATTTTTTTATATTTATAAATGAGCTTTTATGGTTTTTTTTTTTTTTTTTTTTTTTTTTTTTTCGTTATTTCACCTCCCCAAGGCCGAGAAGGCCACTACAAACAAGGAGGCTACTTAATTGTGGTTATAACCCTCTCTCAACTCTATAACTCCGAAACACGAACCTTGACAAACAAGGCCGCTGCGCGGAGAAACAAGTTGAGCGCTGTTTGTTACTGCATTTTTTATATTTATAAATGAGCTTTTATGGTTTTAACGATAAACTTGAATTATTTTTGCAAACATTTTAGTAATTTAAAATGCTTAACATAAGTTTCAGTGAATGTGTTTTTAGGAGTGTATTTATAAAATTATGAGAAAAATAATTTATATAAATTAGTAATTTATAAGAATACTATAATATAGTAAACATCTGATTGGTCAGGATTTTCTTCACCTAATAAAGGATGCATGGTAATTTTTATCATGAGATAATCTCCTATTCAATCAATCAAAATATTTCGATAGATCATACGATCGAGGTGATTTACAAATAGTTAAAAGCTAATCTTAAGTAAATACCATAAAATAGTATTAATAATACAAATAATAATGATAACAATAATAATGATGATAAACTAACAATTATAAGAATAACAAGAAATTTATATAATAATAAACCAATATTTTAAAAATTGTAAATTTATAATCATGTAGTTAAATAGGCATTTGTGAGCATTGAACTTTGTTCAAGTTTTAGATCAATTTTGCAGAATTTGCAAAAGTATTTTTTAATAAAGTTTCAAAAAATGTAATAGATGGATTTGTAAAAAAAAACTATTTTAATACACGAAACAGTAAAATAATCACAAAGTAAACATGAAAATGGAAGAAATTTTTAGAGAACTCATTGCATAATCTCTGTAATAGTTTAGAGAACTCATTGCATAATCTCTGTAATAGTGATATTGTAATAAAGTTTCTTAATGTGTTACGGGTTATATATTGCTATGTGTTATATTATTTCAATTCTTTTTCCAATATGAAAAACTTAACAATAAGATGTATTTTTACAACATGTTGACATTATCTTTTTTACACAAAAATAAACACAAAATTTACACAAAAATAAACAAAAATTTGAAATTTTATAAAATATTTTTTTGATTCTTCGTCCTGTCCCTAAACTTTTTAAAAATATCATCTTGATTTCAAATGGGTAGGACTAACTATTCCCATCATCTTTGGGGTCGTCTATAAATTGTCACACTCTACGGGGGAGGGGGTTGTGGTTTTGTGATGACTCATACAAAATTTGCTTCTAAAGTGTTATGATTTTGTGACAAAGGGGAGGGGAGTTCAAAAATGGACATAATTTACGGATGACCTCTTTACTAAAAAGCAAAACATGATTTAAAGTCATGCAGATCAAGCTACATAAAAAATTCTCATGGTTTTCAAATATTTGTAATAAATGCAAAAATTTGAAATTTTTGTGATTGGATCAAATTTTAATCTGTGATGGTGGGGGAGTTTTTTTTTTTTATATGGAAAAAAATATTTTAAAGTATTTAATTTTTTGATATGGAAAAAAGTATTTTTAAGTATTTTTTATGAAAAAAATGTGTCTTTTAGTCATAACCCTAATCCACATACTGTTAGGAGATTTTGTTTCCTGAATTATCTTTTTTTGGCTGGATTACATTCAAACAAAATCAGTTTCTCATCAATTTTCCTTACAAATAGTCAAGCCTATACCAATCTGTTCACACTTTCTAAAATATAATAAAACATTAGTTGTCAAAAAAAAATTTATGTGTGGTCATTTAAGGCGTGCAACCCCAGGTGTCTCCTGAGAAGGTTTGATTTTCTGCAGTACCCCTACTACATCTCTTGTATATACTTAAATCATATTTTTTAAATCCTATTGCTTTGCCCGGTACTGTGCTGGTTGAATTTTATAATTACTTTGTTTTGTTGTCATAAAAATATGACATTAAATTATATAAATGTATATATTATTATTATCAACAGTTCTTTTTTGATTAATTTTTTTTTTTTTTTTCGTATTTTGCTTTAGCAAAATATGGTATACCATACTGTGAAAATTTGTTAAATTACTGGGTTATCACCATTCTGCCTGAGATGGTGCAGGATGTTATCACCATCCTGCCAATCTCAATTCAATACCATCAATTGCAGCTTCTTGATTTTTTTTTCTTATAATAATTTTTCTTAAATTTCCCTCATTTAAGACTTAAGTTTGTAATAACTTATTTCAAGTTTTTTTTGAGGGAGAAATAGAATCTTGTACCAGTAACTACATGGAAATCATTCTAAGCTTCATATCATCTTCAAACAGTCTAAACTTTATAACAAAGTTTTGTGTCAAATTGAGATCAGTCAGTAAATTTTTTTATATCAAGGAGTGCTTCGAAAACCCACATGTAAAACGTACTAAACCACAAACCCATTGGTTGCAAGTGCTAGTATGTACCAAAAAATGGAAATTTATTACATGGAATGAAAATTATATGTTAAAGGGTTTGGAAATCTATTTTAAATGCAAGGTCCAAGTTGACAAATACACTCTAATTAATTTTACCAAAAAAATTAACATTAAATAAAAAACGTTTTTTAAAAAGAAAGATATTATTAGTGAGACTAAAAATATGTGAAGAGAAAATAAAAAGGAAAAATAAAAAAACAAAAAAGGGAAATAAAAGTTAATTTATTTAGTTATTGATGATAACAAAATGGGATATGTTGATAAAAAAGACCAATTAATGATATTTACTCAAATAAGTATTTACTCATTTAATCAATCAAGCAGCCTTCAATGCTCAAGTAGTTTATAAAAAAATCACTTCAATAGAATAATAAAAAAGCTTCTCTCTGTATTGGCGTAAAACTAAACTCTGTATTAAGTTAATAATTGCGATAACAATAATTGCGATAACGTTTGGCTGAAAAACATTGAGTTTTATTTGAATTAAAGTTCACCAGCCACTTTGAGCCCCATGCTGTAGCAGAAGTGAGATCCTTTTCAAGCTCAAATGCCCCCTCCAAGCAATCAGAGAGTGTTGACTTCTTATCATGACAAGAATCAATGGTAGAATTGTCAGCAAATAATGCCACCTTATATGTGAGAATGTCTGGAAGATCGTTAATGTAAATTAAAAAGAGTATAGGGCCAAGGATTGAACTTTGTTATTACTGTTGGCAAATCAGCTGTTGAACGAGTAGATCGAAATCCATATTGATGATCAGAAAGTTATTAGATTAAAGATGAGAGATTAAGTGTTTGCTAATTAAAGATTCAAAAACCTTGCTCATGATAGGAAGATTAATGGAATTGTAGTTAGACAAATCAGATCACTCTCTAGAATTTTTGAAAATAGGGATAACAGATGTCACTTTCCAGCAGACTGGAAAACAAGACTCTGATAAGCACTAAGCTCCGGAGAACACTTTTGCAAGACTATAACAGGTATGTTGTCCGGGCCACAAGCTGTAGAAGACTCTAGACTGGAAACCACTTTTGCTACAGAAGCTGGAGTGGTACGAATGTCAAGCAATCGATCAACCTGTTTGACAGCTATTTTAGGTAGAACGCAACTAGTGGAATCAAGAGATGATATTGATAAAAAAATTCTTAGCAAACAATTTAGGTTTGTCTTTGGGTTAAGTGACAACTTTGAACTATATAAGAGAGGTAGAATTACAGATTTACCCTTATTATTGATACTATTAAAGATTCTCCAGAAGTCACGAAAGTCTAATTTTTATGATGAAGTATGAGATTTCATGAGAATAGCGGGCATGACCTGAGAATAGCGGGCTTCGGCGTTAGACAAAACCTTTTTTCAATGGTTTTTAGCAGTACTAAACAGACGCCTGTTTTCTGGAGAATTGTTTTGCTGATAGATATGGAAGTAACGGTTTCGATTGGCAATTGCACAATGTGAGGAAAACCATGAAGAAGAGTGAGTCGATTGCATCGATTGCAGCAGCACAATATGAGGAAAACCATGAAGAAGAGTGAGTCTTGACCTGGAATTGTTGAGAGGGAATAAAGGATTCCATGCCAGCCTGAATCCACGAAGCTATGTAAGAAGCACATTTGTCAACAGGAAGGTGAAAGATTTCTACCCAAGGGCCAAATTATTAGACAATTAATAAAATGCAGATCATATTAATGGTAAAGTTAAACTTGGTTAAATTGGTTTATTGGTGGTTTTTTTAAAACTTTAAAATTAAAATTGTTATTATAAATCTTATAAATTTATTTCACAGGTTTTTTAATTATGTTTGTTTTGTGTTTTCATTTATTTTTTAATTTTTATTTTACAGGTTTTACAAATCAATTTGATCTCGATAATCCTACTTACTTTGATACTCAAGACATTCCATATGATATAAACAGCATCATGCATTATCAAAAGTAAGTTTTTTATGTTTTAATTTTTATCAGTGATAATGCATAGTTTAATAGCAGGTTTTAATCCCCTGAGGTGACTGTATACTATCTTTTAATTATTGTTATTTTTTTTTAAAAAGGGGGGGGGAGGGCGGATTTGCCTTAAATTTGTATTTTAACTATTCAGGAGGAAGCACTAAAGTTTTTTTAAATGAAAAATCAAACAATAAATAATTATTTTTTGATTTTTTTGTTACCATTTTTTTTTTTTTTAATTATTGCTTACTTAGTTACCATTTTTTATTTTGGTTACTAAGGACTTTTTTTTTTATTTGACCTAATATATTGCAACATTTTTCTTCTGAAAGCTTTCTTATTATGTAAATACCATATTTCTTGACTAATTGGGTTTTTATTACATTAATAAAAGGTTAGGGTTTAAACCAATACATGTTTTCATTAGGTAGTTTTAAAAAGTTTATTAAAGGTTTTATGAAAAAGTAAAACTTTTAATAATATACTGAACAGAATATAGTGAGAGAGTATATTATAATGATATAGTAAACAGAAATGATATTTTATGATATCTTATTATATATTATATCTTATTATAACTTCTTTTTATATATTCTTTACTTTTTTTTATCTTCTTATCTTTAATTTTACTTCTTCTATTATAAAGAAGTTTAAATTATAAGTATTATAATAAAAGTCTTACTATAAAAAAATTTATTTATTTGTTATTTCTTAACAATCAGGTGAGGTCTTTAATTAATTTATTTGTTATTTCTTTACGATAAGTGAGGTCTTTGATGCTATTGTCAAGAGTTTGATATGTCATACATGCATGAAGCAAAACAAAAAAAAATTAGCTAGGGTACTGAATTATTTAATGAGTGGCACGTAATACACAAAAGTGTTTGCTTCGTTAACCACAAAGGTTCATAAGGTAGCATGGAGAGTGGTAGTGCTTGTGAGATATTTTTGTGGTCAATGGAGATAGGAGCACCTAAGTTTGTTAAGTTTGTAGGAAATGGGTACAGGCAGTTTTAGGAAAGGTAAAAATTGATGTAATAAAGTTTTTGGAATTAGATATGAAGTTGAAAAGGAAGACGGTGGGAGATTGCAATAGGCTTACAGATAAAATGATTGATAAAATACAAATTATTAAGGGTAAGCTATCTGTAACAGCATTTCAAATCTTTATTTAATGCAAAATGCTGTGTGGGCTGTTTTTAAACCTATTCAGGACAATTTAAAATCTTTAGATGAACAGCATTCTCTTTGTCCTAACCATATTGATACTTGGTGTACGCATTGGAATAACCGGTTATAGTGTGATGCTAATAAACGACTTCCAAATTCATTTGTTGGCTTTTTAAAATCTTTTTTCACAAATTTTACAAATAATGAGCTCCTTAATTAGCGTTTGCTAGGTTTCACACAAAATCAGAAAGAATCTGTGAATGGAGTTCTTTGGTCAAAATGTCTTAAGCTAAAATTCAAAAGTTTTTGATTTTTACTCAAGATTGATCAATTTTTTTTAATTACTATTATCCAGGCTTTCGATTCGATTTCGAAGATTTGGTTCATTATCAGGTTTATTGGAGTTGTTTTGGATCATGTTTTTTACTGAACTGCTTTGTTGGCAATAAAAAGAAATAGGCCGGGTGAAATAAAAAAAAGCAATTGCTTTTAATTAGTGTTTTTGGAGTGAGTTTTCAGCTTTACGTGAATAAAAATTTGAGCAAAATTGCTGAAGTTTTTTCACGTAATTACTGAGTATAAGCAATTGCTTTTTTTTATTCACCCGGCCTGATATTAAAACTAATGTAAAGTTAAATTAATTCTGATAAGCCTGATGCACAGAATGAACGAATAAAAATAAAATTATTTTAATTTGAATTTACATGTTAGTATACATTAGTTATTTTTATTTAGTTTTGTTTTTTCAAAATTTTTCAATTCAATAACCAACTCGATTGTTTATGAAAAAGATTTTATGACAATGTATGCATTGTCCACGTATACGCTACCATTGGGTAATAATTATGGTCTGGCTTCAAGCGATATTTTAAGGATTGCATTGAGATATAACTGTAGTATATTGTCAACGAACCCTACGGCAACGGCAGTTTCTACTGTGAAATTGACTACGGAAGTTTCTACTGTGAAATTGACTACGGAAGTTTCTACTGTAAAATTTACATCAAACGCCCGTGTCATTTTTTCCAAAATTATATTTATATACTGTTTGATTATTTTCTTATTAATTTAGTGAATAAAAATTATTTTTGACGATTTTTTAAAATTATTTTTATTCGTGAATTTTGTGAACGAAAGGTGAATGCTTTGATATATATTTTGTTTTATACTTTTTATCTTTTTGTTTCTGATTTCTAAGACTTTGCAAGAATGTTTTTTTATGTTGATTATTTTTTTATGTTGATTTAATGTTTTTTTATGTTGATTTTTGTTGGATTTTGTTTACTTTTTAAATTTCTTTTATTTTTTAAGACAAGAAAAAAAGTGCTTTTTTTTGTCCTTATTTTTTTTGCACAACTGGTTTGGTTTTGTTGTGTTTTTTTAACCTATAATACAATATTATGTTGCTAATTATCAATTATTTAATTAGTTTTTTATATATGTAAATAAATAAATATGGTTATATGAAGATGATTTTTTGATTATTACAAATACTGTTAATGACGTCACTCGAGTTTTATCTTTAAGTTTTTATTTGCCATATTGGAATTAACTTAAGTAAACAGGGTCCACTGAATGCTACCTCAACTAAGAAACGTTTTTTTACACAATAGAAGAAAATTAACTTTTAATGTATATTATCAAAATTTGATAGTATACATTAAAAATCCCCTTGAAAGTATAAAACCCCAAAAACTGACGGTGCAATTCGTTTTTGCCGTCAACAATAATTCGTTTTATAACTCATTAACAGCTTTAAAACTCATTAACAGTTCGAATGCAAATATATGGGTTTTAGCTATGCAAATATAACATCAATTTTCTTAATAATAAAGACGCTGTTGGAAGGGCAATCTTTATTTTTACAACTTTTACTACTAATAATACTAAGTTTACCAGATAATAATAAATTTTGTAATTTTATTTACTGGTTCAGGCTCTTTACCAGATTATAATGAATTTCATGACTATCTGATTTATGTAAATTGATTATTGAATGTTTAAACAAGAACAATTTCCACCTAACTTTAGAATATACTTTAGCGTATGGAAAAAATTAATCAACAAATAATAATTAGTATCAAATAGGCTTTCAACACCTTTAGAATTAAATTTTATATACCCATAATATAAAAAATACTATACCCTTAATATAATTTCTCTGACTTAGTAAAAGTTTTAAATTTTCCAAAATTTACAGACAGTTTATTTAAATGGATTTAACTTAATTACAAAATTAGAATAAATACAAACACAATTTTTGACTTATAACAAAAGAAGTCTTAAATAGCCGCACTTAGGGTGAGAGTTGTAAAAAAATGCACAAATAATGATTTTCTTGAATTTTTTTTTTCTCCTTAAAACTGGATCATGTACCTTCTTTTTACGATATACTTGTTTAGAAATATAAGTCTTTTATTCCTTTTTGACTTATATGGTAGGTGATTTAATTTATTTGATAATGAACATAAAATTTATTTGCTTTTATATCTACAACGCATATGCTCTATTTAACCCTCAGGATTTTTATAAATTGCTTTAAGCACTGATCTATGACTTAGACGTTTCCCAACTTCCCACTTAACTTTAGAAATTATAAGCTTTTTTAAACATTCTGATTTAGGTAACATTACGGATTCAGAGAATCTTGATGTTTTGTAGAAATTAATTCTCTTAATTTAATTCTTTAAAATTAATTGAAATGTTATCAAATTTTACCGATTTTGCGACACGTTCACCATTTTGGACCGACCAAATTTTTTAAAAATCAACTTCTATTCAAAAAAATTCAACACTTAAATTACTTTTCCATTCTTAAAATTACCTTTTTTTATGACCACCTTAATTGTACACGACCGAAACTCGTAAAAACGAATTTAAGCTTTTTAAATTTATTTGTTCAAAAAACAAGTATTTACTTTTTCTTCCAACCTCTTCAATGTACAATTACGCAATTGTTATAGTTTCTTATTAGGAATATCCCCGGTATATATAAGACTTTAGCAGTCACTAAACTGGTATGGGATATATACATACATACATATATATATACATACATATATATATATATATACATACATATATATATATATATACATACATATATATATATATATACATACATATATATATATATACATACATATATATATATATATATATATATATATATATATATATATATATATATATATATATATATATATATATAAACACACACACACACACACACATATATATATACACTTATATACAAATGGGATAAAAAACACTTTTGCATAGTGTTTTATAACTTCAGATTACCAGCACGCACTTTTAAATGACTGCTTGCGCCCGTTTGCTTTTGGGATCAATTTTTAAAGCATAAAAAACAATGGCTTTAATATTAACTCTGTAATATATTTTTAAACTTTGTTCACAACCTAAAATAAATTAAAATATATATAAAAATAAGATACAATAACATTACAATAAGATGCAAAAAAAAAAAATACATTGATATAACAAGGTAAATATATATAGATAATAAGATAAAAGAAATTCAAAAAAATACGTAAAAATAAGATATAAACCCAACCTGTCCAGCTATTCGATCCATATCCCTTCGACCTGCAGGAGTTAAGCTACGTCCACCTGCTGCATCTTTAGTAACAAGTTTCATTGCTTCTAGAGATTGTAAGACCTTTCGAGCAATTGAGGCTGATCCTAAGCATGAATGTGATGGCCTTGTCCCATTCCTTTGAGCACGACCATAAATTTTACGAATAGCACCAACACCAAGGTTTGGTCTTAAATAAATATGTCTAGCAACAGCTGCAGCACGGATATAAAACCAATCAGGATCAGAAGGTCCAAGTTCACAAGCTTTCGAAGTTTTTACTATCTCAACAAATTCTGGCACTTTAAATTTATTACCTCTATAAAAAAGATGCAAAAGCGTATTCAGATAATTACAATAGTTAATCACATTAAACAACAATAATAAAATAATTTGCCATAGTAATTTAATTGCTAAGGCAATTTATTTTAAACCAAAAATCACCCTAAAATTTTTAACCTAAGATCACTCTATAAGTCTTTATATAATTGCCAATTATACTGTTAATCGTTACAGGCCATGTTAGTTAAACATTTATAAATAAATATATTGACAAGTATAGTAAGTCTTAAAAATTAAATTATCAAATTAACAATTAGACCAGAAAACTCATATTGCACATTTGACAATTTATTTTTTAAACATTAAAAAAAAAATAAAAGGACAGTAACTAGCATGTAGGCATGCATACACAAAAAAACAAAAATAGCCCTTTCAGTGCTTTTTTATAGGCTCCATACATTATTTTGACTCCTTGTGATATCTAATATAAATTACTTTAAAATGCTTGAGTAAATTCTCATGTTTATTTATTTATTTTTTTTCTGTCATCAAACCAGCGATTACTTATATCATTACAGGCACTTAATTAATGCTATATATTTCAAGAATAATATTTCATTCAATATAAATTTTAATACTGTATATGCAGACAAATTGTACTAAATGGCTAACAATATTAATATATCAAAAATAAGTTTATCTAGCAACTCTATTGTATCTATTAACTCTAAACCCTTTGCAACAGTTTTTTTTCCTCAACGATTAATGATAGGCTAAAACAAAAAATACTTTGAGATCCAAATAACTCAGGCTAACCAAAATTTTACCAAACATTCAACAGAAACTTTAAACCAAAATTTCAGCTAGACAAAATTAATTTTATTCGAAAATTTAGAATTTTACATTTAGTTCTTATTTAAATTTGTTAATAACTTTTTTTTAATGACTTTTCTTATCTATAATAAATTAGAGCAATAGTCATGAATTAGAAGAACAAAACTACTCAAAGAAAAATCTATAAGAATAACTAAAAGCTTAACCACTTATATTCTTGTTTTTTATCTATGAGCCATTATCTGAGAAATATAGGCAAAATATAGGAATTCAGAAAGTGATGTTTTCAAATTGTCTTAAGTTATAGATATTTCGTAAAAAATAACGAAATTAGGCCCTGCTAAATATATTGGGTCCTAACATTTGTTATTTATTAAATTTTATTATACTTTCATAAATCTCAAATATTGTCTTCTAATGGTAAGTAAAGAGGTGAAATTAATTTATTATAAAATTATGAAAAACTCCCTCTTCTTTGTCTCATATGTAAGTGAAAACTAAATTGAAATTAAAATTAAGTAACAATACATGCAGAGGTGTACTTGATTCACAGGTGATAAAAGTTGTGATCTATTAAAAAAAAATTTATTCGAAATTCATTAAGATAACCCTCCCCAAACCCAATCAATCAAATACACTTCCGCCAAAATACGAATATAATATTTTACATTTATGTTTTATCATTATTTAATTTGTTAACAATTGATATTAGACAACAAATATATAGTTACTTTTTTAGGTGTCCAGCAAAAGCTTTTACAAATTCTTGAGGGCTAGCATCTTTTACTGTGATTCCACCAGGCATCTAAAAAATGTTGGTTAGAAAACACCATATTTTTTAACATATTTATGTTTTACACTAAAATAATTAGACAATACATATAAAATGTCATTGATAACATTATACTAAGATACAAACGAGGACCCCAGTAAATGTAATTTTGAATTTGCAGTATTGAATTTGAATTATTAATAGCTGTACTTAAACTTTAAATAAAAATAAAGTAAAATAAAAACATAAAGTAAACAATAACATAAAATTAAGTTTAAAAAAATATTAGTACAAGTAAAAGTAGTTAATTTAAAATAAATAAATGTTAACTATCAAAGAATGATTTTATTTATGATTAATAATTTATGTACTCAATATTTTATTTTTGTTTATTAATTTATGGAAAAAATAATAAAACTTCTTTATATTGATAAAATGAATTTTATCAGATGAAGGTCTGCTTTATTCAGAATAAAATATATAAAAATTAAAAAACTTGGTATAAGCTGGAATTTGTTTTCATTATTTTATTTCTTAAACAACTAGCTTTGGTTTGATCTAGTTATAATATAATTATACTACTTATTTGCAAAGATTTTTGTTGTAAAGAATGAGCAACATTAAATAAGCAACAATTTTTCTATAACAATTTATGCCATGTAATAGGCTGTATGAACTTTAATTTTACATAATTACAAATAAGATTTATATAACCAAAGTTTCTAGACTGTAAGGGCTATGTTGACACACCTTGCTTTATTATTAAAATTTACAAATTGGTACACCAATTTTCTTTCTTTCATATGACTTCTTGATGCTTAGCACTAAATATACAAACTTCAAGAGTTGTTGCATTTAAATATCATGTCTTGTTGATAGTGGTTATTCTACAATATTCAAAAGGAATTTGACTTTTTGTTAGCCTTTAATCGACCAAGCAGATACATTTTAACAATTTATTTAGAAAAGCTAAATTTAAATGAAATTTAAGGGTGATTTCAAAAACACTTAAACATCAAAAATTGATCATTTCAATGATACAATTTTCAAAATATACTAACTTACAATTATATAGTAATGTTAAGTACTGCTATTATGGCATACAATTTAAACGATTACATTAAAGCGCAAATTCGACAACAGAAAACACATTTATCCAACTTTATTTCTATTTAGCAACTTGAAACTATATAAATTGAAAATTAACTTGCAATAAACAGTTAAGATATTATTGAACATATATTCAAACAAAAAATTAAGTACAGAGAGGTAGCAGTCACCTTGATCCTTTACGATCCACTGACGGTGACACGATTCGTAAGTGTAAGAAAGAGCGTGAGATATATGGATTCCATTTTGAACGTTAATTCCCATTCTTCTTTTAGTTGTAAAATTACAGACCACTTCTTACTTTGAATTTTCAAAAAAAACAATTTTACATAGAAATATTTTTATGAACTATAAAACTTTTATCTTATACAGTAGAGTATAAAGTAGTTTATGTACTTACATCAGTTGTAAAAACTAGTAAGTTTTAAAGAAGAATAAATCTGTAAACTCATCTTTTTTGTTTAGCTTACTCGGCTTCCGTTTATTTGTTTCTACAATAACCACGTTCGACTTTCATGCGGTTTCCATTTAAATTAAAGAATTTCCGCGAAATGGATAGGACAACTAGACAAAAAAAAATTCTTCCCTATTTTATACCAAACAACTTAGAATATAATATAAAAATTAAAACTAAGTGAAAAAGATCGTTAAAACACTCTCGCTAGATGGATTGCTTTTGCGCTCTGTTTTACCTTTCCTTAATAGGATTCAACTAATTTTTTCTTTTCTTTTTTGGTCGTACAAAAAATAATACAACCAAAAAAGTAAAAAATGTTATCAATCTTATACTTTCAATCGGGGGCTCTGATAATCTATTAATTCCTTATGGCTTATTAATTTAACCCTCTTCACTAGTGTCATTAACACTTTTTTTTTGAAGTTTTACTAAATTAGGACACAATATACAAGCAAATTTATAACATATTACTGGTAAAATTATCAATTTAGAAAACAATTTTGTTATCGAATATATCCACAAAATGGTCAAAAAAAACACAATAATTTAATGTTAATATGCTTAACATAGCAATATAATTTATTATAATATATATGTATATAATATAAAAACCAATATTTAAAATACTAGATCCTAATGTTCTATCTGATGATATCATATCGAATACACTTAGCACATTGTATCAACATTTTTCATATTTGCAAACTGTATCTGATTTAGTGAATAGTATATAACTGATGAGAGTAACTGACGAGTGGTATATTCCAGTAGCATTGATAGTAGTATTGGTTCAAGTTTAGCAGCCGTGGTGCAGTGGCAACGCACTTTCCTCAGAAATAAAAGATCCTTGGTTCAAACCCCATTTCTGGTCAAGTTTTGCGACATCGGTTAGGAAGGAGTCGTGAACTTCCCATTAATTGTTCATTCGCGGTGCTCTGTGATAAAGCCTTCACTTGAACATCAAAATATGGATTTTTATAAAGCAACTTATTCTAAAAAATTCAAATCTTACAATTTTAGATATTTTTTGGTGACATGTAGAAGTCGTTATTTTTGTTGTTTGAGTCGGGTTAATCCCAAAACATCTGCATCAGTTAGAATTACTTTACAATCATTAAAATTTTAAAAATATACGCAAAGTATATAATTATATAACATTTTGCAATTACATTTTAAGGCAGATACTTTTGTAACTAACAAAACAATAATTATCAAAGACACCTCCATTTTCAAAATCGTTTTAGGGTATAAATTTAATAAATATAAAGTGCACAAAGCCAATAAAATAATGAACATGAATTTAATAAATATAAAGTGCTCAAAGGCAAAAAAATAATAAAACAATTTATCTGTCATGAATATTTAACTTCGTCGTTTTGCAAGCTATCTATCTTATAAAATAATGTAAGCTTACATTAACTAAATTATATTAGGGTGATTTTTATTATATGGAAATTTTTCTTTTGAATTGTTAGTTGCACAACTAATTATTTAGTGAGGTTTGATAAAAAAAAAATAGGTGAATTTCTTTTTGCAAACTAATGATAGAAGTGGTCCCCAAACCCTATTTTTGAACCCTAAATTGACCAAAATTTGTCTGAAAATCTAATTTTGAAAGTATATGTTTATACCATACAAAATGCTAGTATAAACTGTTTAACACTACATCTAAAAACAAATAATATAAAGTATTTTAATGCTACTACATAGATAATTTACAGAGGAGGGAATGTGCAGGCAAATTTAGATTTACCCCATTTTTTATCAAAATCTTTTCTAACTGTATACTTTGATGACATTATTGAAAAGTATTTTACTTACAATAATTTGTTGCAAATTTTTCCAATTACACTGTAACTTAGAAACTAATTTTTAATAAACTTGATAATAGTGATGGCATAGCTGGGGGTGCTGTGGGTAAGGGGTAGGATAAATTTGATTCATCTAAGGCTTTTTATTTTTTTAAATATTTTTTCAGAACCTTGAGAAATTAAATAGTGTTTAAATTAAATAGTTCTAAATTAAATAGTGTCAAAAATTAATTAATAAATTGTTTACCAATCAAGTGAAAAACATGATACTAAGTTCCTCACAAAATCGGAAATCAAAACTCCAAGATCTCTCTCTAAAGAGGTTAATTCAATTTCTTGTTGTTGTCCGTGGTCACTTTATCCTGATATAAAATATTTTGCGTTAGACTTCGTTTTTATAACAGTTAATTTGCATGACTTTTTTTAAATTTAATTTTAGATGCCATTTTTTACACCATAGGACTGTATTATCAATATCTTGTTGTAGTAAATTAGCATCTTCTAGCGTCTTAATAACTCCGATTATCTTACTATCGTCAACATAGAGTTTTATAGAACCCTGTGGTACACCGCTAGCAACGTCTTTCCATTCAGATATAGAATCACCCAATACTACTCTTTGTTTTTTGTTTCTGAGCCACGCTTCGATCCATGCAATTAATTGACTTTATATTCCATATGCTCTTATTTTATGAATGAGTCGTCGATGGAACACTTTATCAAACGCTTTCTCTAAGTCAGTATACACTATGTCAACTTGATATTTGTTTTGTATGGCTTTTGTAACATATTTGTTTTGTATGGCTTTTTTATGTTCAAAGTTTCAAGTAAATTGGTAACACATCCTTTTTTTAAGATGAAACCGTGTTGAGATGTCGAGATAATATTGTTTTCCCTACAGTATTTCACGATTGCTTCACGTATAAGATTTTCTATAATTTTACTTACAACAGATGTTAACAAAACTCCTCTGTAATTTGAAGCTTCTAATTTACTGCCTTTTTTAAAAATTGGAGAAATATTTGCCATTCTCCACATATCAGAAATTTCACCGCTTGTCAGTGAAAGACGATAGATAATTGTTAATGGAATTGCAAAACTTTTTGCACATTCTTTGAGGACTCTCGGATGAATGTTGTCGTATCCCATTGATTTTGTTATATTTAGTTTTTCAATTCTTTCTTGAACAATTTTTTTCGTTATTACTAGCTCCGTTGCTGTGTTGTATAATGCTTTAGTTTGTTGTTAAAAATCTGGAAAAGGACAAGATGGTTCTTCTTCAAAAAATCTGGAAAAGGACAAGATGGTTCTTCTTCAAAAAATCTGGAAAAGGACAAGATGGTTCTTCTTCAAATATCGAGTAAAAATAATCGTTTAATATATTGCATATCTTGTTATTATCAATAGTAGTTATATTATTTTTGTCTTTTAGTGCACAAATTAATTGTCGATCTGTGTGTTTGTTTTGGATGTATGAATGAAATACTTTTACATTTGATTTGGCTTTTTCAACTAACTGCTCCTCTCAGTTTTGTATTTCTCTTTTTACAACTTCTTTAAAGCAATTTTATATTTGGCTTTAATAATATTTTTATGTGCATTCTTCCCAGCAGAGATATATTTTGCCCGTAATTCACGTTTGTTTCTTAGCTTATATTTTACTTTCGGCGTAATCCATGGATCTTTTTCTTCACAGTACTTCATCGATTTTTGCGGAATGTATTTGTTGGATGCTTTTTCATATTCGATAATTAGTAAATTGTAGCATGCATTGACTGATAGATCTTTGAATAATTCAACCCAATTTATTGTACTTATGTGCTTGTTTATTTCTGCATAATTTCCCCTGCTCCATATATAACAACTCCTCGAAATTTGAGACTTAACAATATTATTTTTTATAGTAACGCTAAATTCTAACATAAAATGGGCACGTCCTCGAAAAGTACTGCCAAGCGGCGAGTTACACGTTATATCTAAGAAACGATTAGGGGTTTTAGTGATAATAAGATCCAGAGTGTTAACTGGGCATTAAAAATGGCGTGATCTCATTTAAGTGAGCCAGCCCGTCTAACTGGGCTATCTGACCTCATATAAACAACCTCATAAAATTAAAACTATCTGAAATTTTATTTGTTAACTGTCTATCTAAACCCAAATAAGTTGCAACATTTAAGAAAAATTATTTTTTTTAATAAATGCTTTGTTTACATAAGTTTATCTATATATGTGGCTTCTATGTAAAACTACCCATTTTTATAGGACCCAAACATGTCAAAAAAACTTAAAAAAATAAAAAATTAATACACTACGTTTCTATATTTGAATAATATCTGAAATAAAAATATAATGTGCGAAATTGGAAAATTACAAGTCCTATTTTAATTTAGTTTTTATATATAATTCATTATGAAACATAAACATTTTTAGAAAAAATCAAGTGCTTCAAGCAATTGATTTTTTCTAAAAAAGTTGAAAACCACTGTTACCTATTCTAAATTCTATTTTACCGCTGTAAACAAAGCTAATACAGTTATTATTTTCGATGGAAAATAACTGTTTGAATAAGTTTTTAATTTGCTTGAGTAATCGAATTGAAAGAAAAAGTATCACGTAAACACCAAAAATTACTTTCATTTATCTAAATTTTAGTACTTGGAACCTTTATGATAAGAAACTTCCAAGTAATGTGTTTGGTTTCTTTTAAAAAAATAGCGTGTAAGACGATATATTTTAAATACACTGCAAAAAGCCTGAAAGCGTATATGGTTTAATAGGTTATATAATGTTATAATAAATAGATATATTTATTATAGTAGTGTGATATACGAAAAAACTGTTAGTACTTTACTGCATTTTATGTTTTTATATCTTAATATTAAATAAGTCAGCGTCAAATAATAAAAAAAGGTTTTTACCGAAGCGCTTAACTTGCAAAATTACGTTATGATATTGTATTTTTGATTTAAAATAAGTATTTTAATTACTATTCTTGATTTTTCAGCTCATTGACAATATATTTTCTTATTTCTTTAATTTTAAAATAAATTAAGAAGAAGTTCTTGATTTGTCTAAAAATCGAACTCTCCCAATAAAAAGATTTATCATTTTTTTTTGTTGCTTGTTTAGCAATTTAATGTTAGTTCATTTAGTAAATTAAATTTTCATTTGGTAGATTAACTAGCAAGCGAAATTCTTAAAATAAGAAAAAAATCAAATAAAGAAATATGCTTATTAAACAAATAAAATCTAGCAAAATAACTCGTTAACAAAATTCGTGCTCTGAGACGTAAGAACTGTTTTGAGTACAAAAACACAAACTCACTCGCATATATGTATATGTGTATATATATATGTATATATATATATATATATATATATATATATATATATATATATATATATATATATATATATATATATATATATGTATATATATATATATATATATAATATAATATATATATATGTATGTATATATGTATATATATATATATGTGTATATATATGTGTATATATGTATATATATATATATATATATATATATATATATATATATATATATATATATATATATATATATATGTACATATATATATATATAATATAATATATTATATATATATATATATATATATATATATATTATATATATAATATAATATATAATATAATATATATATATATATATATATATATATATGTATATATTATATATACATATATATATGTGTGTATATATTATATACACATATATATATATATATTATATATATATATGTGTATATATAATATAATATAATATATAATGTATATATATATATATATATATATATATATATATATATATATATATATATATATATATATATATATATATATATATATATATATATATATATATATATATATATAAAGATGGTGGTTATTTTTTTTTTCTTTTTAGCAAACAAGAAGACATAACAAACTCTTCTTAATTCATTTCCTGATAAAGATTTACTAAAATCTTCTTTAGACAATTTATTAAAAACTAAAAAAAAATATATTTTTTAATATAACATCTTGAAGTCATTCTTAAGTTTGGTAAGTTTAGATTAAGTGAAATTTAATGAGAGCTAATAAATGATTTGTAATAAATATGATTAACCAAAGAGTTTTTTTTAAGAGTTGTAATTATGTTTTATTTATTTTTAGAGTTCTCAAACTTTTATAAAATCATGCTATGAATATTGCCTCAGTTTTTAGTTTTTTGCATGGTATTCGAGATTCATTCTTAGGTGTTGGAGTTGTTATTAACATTGATAATGAACAGACAAGTACTAGAAAACATAACACAAATGATACAAAAAAGTATGCTATTTATTCTTAGTTACCTCAGATTGTTGTTTTACATCAAATCTTCAATGATTTTTCATAATAACTATAAACTTAAAAAAGTTTAAGTATAAATTTAGAAGAAAAAAAGTTTTACCAATGATTGCACAGTGTTGTTTCTTGAATGGGGGTTTGTTATTGGTAAGCAAATTTATATATATACATATATTTTTTTAACATTTGTATTAATATAAATATATTATGTAACACATATGTTAAGAGGTAGAATGCTTGCCTTTATATAGAAAAGTACTGAGATCAATCCCCACCAGGTTTATGGTAGAACTGAACTTAATTTGTTTCTCTATTTTTTTTACAAGGTGTTTAAGGGATATGAGAGTGATATTTTGATTATTTAAGACTTTTCTAATCAAATAAACAAGTTAACATTTAACAAACATATTAAAATTTATTATAAATAAATAACAACTTTGAAAAATTAAAAAAAATAAGTAAAAAATTACACTTAGATAAAATTATAAAAAAGTGTCTTCTCCTTGGTGATATTAATACAGTAAAAAACATATATAAGATAAAGTCCTTCACTTTCTAATTCAGGTAAATCAAAATTACAGTTAAATATGAAATATAAATCAAATTAAAAATAAAATATAATAATAGTAATGCAATGTTAAATCTATTACAGACAAAATGAGAAAAAGTCAAATATACTAAATTAAGTCTAGCTTAACTTTAAATGAGTTAATACTTTTAACTTTTATTGTTTCAAATGGCAATCTATTACCTCATGAACATAATTTAAATATTTCTTATTTTGAATAAATGATGTTTATTGCCTTAAATATTTGTTCAATGTTATATATATAATATTTGAAGGTATTTTCCAAGTTGTTTTTTCAATTATATGACACCACTTATGCATTTGTACAATGACCTTATTCTGCAGTGTTTTAAGGATGCAAATTTTTTTGAGCCTTTCTTTATTTGAGAAATGACATAACTCTGGTATGGTAAAAGAGTTAAGAGAGGGTTCTAACTACAATAAAGTAGCTTCCTAGCCTTTAGTGGCTAAGAAGACCCTTAGCCTTAGAGAGGTGATAAGCATTGAAAAAAACAACTAGTTTACCATAGTTGATATTAACATAACTTTATATATATATATATATATATATATATATATATATATATATATATATATATATATATATATATATATATATATATATATATATATATACATATATATATATATATATATATTACATCATATAAGAAACTAATAAGGCATTAGTTTTATATATTTTTATAGAAATATAAATTTTACGTCTAATTTAAAAACAATTATTTTATAGCTCAGCATGGTACTTTTTGAATATTTTGTAGTTCCTGCTGTTAAATATCTTTTGACATTTGTAACTTGTAAGTTTGTTTTTCATATATTTTATTTAGTGTTTATATAAAAAAAAACTGTTTCATCTGAAAATTAATCTTTTATTTGACTTTTCATGCTTTACATTTGCGTTTTTCCCATTCACCCTCGTTCACCCACATTCACCCTTGCTTATACTGTTGACAATATATTTTATTAAGATTATTTTGTGAGGAAACAATGTATTTGTAAATAACGTTTTTTGATAATCTATTGGGTAATTCCACATCAAATCACCCAGTCCATTGAACCATGTGTCTTCTTTTTGTTTTATATTTTGACACATTATTCCTAATAATAAAAAAAAATTGCATGCAAAATTTCAGCCAAAAATGTTGAGCGGTTGACAAGATACTGCGATTTTAATATTGACCTGGTTTCCCAAAATGACCCGGTTCACATAACGTTCTAAAAATATCTTTTTCTTTAAAAAATAAGAAATAAAAATGTCAAAAATATAAAAATAAACATATATAATATTTTTTTGATGCTGAATTCAATAAATGTACTTAAAATGCTGAAATATAAAAGGAACAAGCTTAAAAGTTAATAAAACAACAAGTTTCTATAAACCAACTTTGGGGCCCAATATCTCAAAACACCCCCGTCAAATTTTTTTTTTTTTTGCTGTTAATATATTTTTTGCTTATAATCTTACTAGGCACAAAATATCTAACTGGAAAAACAACTGAAACATATAAAACTTTAATATCTAAGATGTATTACTTTTTCAAAAAAATTCCTAAAAAATGTTTGTAAATACAATAAAAATAAGTTTATCGTAATTTAAAAATGTATTTAAATATACAAGATTTTTCAAGGTGCAAGTTATTTTGACTGTGTTTGTAATAGTTCACAATATTGTTCCCATTTTACTTGTACTTCTTCTATTTCAGCATTTTCAAACACATAGTTTCTACCGGAACTAGAGCAAGCTTGTGGAACAGATAGTTTTTTCAATATGTTGGTGTAAGGAATAAAACAGTAGTCCTCTCTTTCAGGCCAGTTAAAACAGATTGATGTACCTTTTGGGTGAAGAAACTTAACTTTAACATCAACTTCTTCTAGGTTAGTTTCAGTTACAATGCCGATCCACCACTTATCATCATAGACTACAGCTACATAACCTCCTAAAGTGACAGTATCAAGTTGAAATATATCTTGTTTCTTTTTAAGGTTGTGAATTATTGTATAATTAGTGTCTGTACTACACCTCTTTGCCCCAACCCTGTTATCTCCAAGATGTATAAATTGATGAAAGCTACGAGTACCAGGTAGAGTTGTTACACCAGTGTACCTTTCTCTTTGCTCCTCACATTGCAATTGTAAGTCTATCCCCTTTATGTAAATGAAGTTAACAACCTTGATTTTCTCAATACAAAATTCATACATAGCTTCAGATGTGAGAATTTGGTTTCTGTATGGTCGTTTTAAACTTTTTTGTGCTGTTAACCTTTTTACAGTGCCGCCAATCCCATCGCATGGTGACTTTCCGTGTGACGTGGCAAAAAAGTTCCATTCAACTTTAAGGGAAAATTCGCTCTCTAGTTGGCATAGATTGTAAAAGCTTTTACAATTTTTGTACTGTCCTGCGCAACCATCAGTAAATAGATGTAATTTGGACAGATTGGAAAATTTTGTTTTTAATATTGGTATGATTAGTTGAAATATTTTGTACACATAAGTTACATCATGTGTAATGTCGTCTGATATAAAACAATAAGAAATATGTTTCAGTACAGCTTTATCATCTTTATAGTATATCACTAATGGATGTAAAGAACATTGTTGGGTGTTCCAATGATAGCTTTGTATTTCATCTTGGACTACAAAAGTATAATTTTCAGCAAAGTCCCCAATAATGATAATGTTTGATTGATCCATATTTTGTTTTAGTTGGTTAAGGTACTGTGATTGAGAGTGAGCAATAAAAGAATGAGCTTGTAGCTTTTCAAAGCAAGATACTAATAGTTCAACAAATGTTGAAACATCTGCTGTTAAACTCAATAGTGTTGCATGATCAGTAGTTTGCCATTGCTTGTAGTGTATCTCAAAATCATCTTTGTATTCTCCGAAAATCTCATACATATATTTGGTGAGGGTTTCTTTACTAGGACAATTATCACACTGTGCAAGCATGCATTCTTTGTTTTCTACTGAGCAAATGGTTTTCGAAAGTAAATCCTTATACTTTAGTCCAATATTTAAGGCATCTACTAGCAATATGGCATTTTGGTGATAACAACAAACACAAACAGAATGTGTACCATTTGCACCTGGCAAAATGTACCACTTTGGTCTAAGTGAAGCAAATTTTGAGTAACTTATTTGTATTGCTGGATTGTTTTCTTTGTATAATACATATAGTTCTTGTAAATTACACAAAAGCAGTTTTTTTTGTTTATGGATATTCTTTTGAATGCTAACATAATCTTTTTTTCCAGACATAGTTCTACATAAATCACTTGAGTCATAAAACAATTTAACAGAATCTTCTATTTCTTTGTGTAAGACTTTACCTTTATACAATGGAGAGATAGCTAACAATCCTTTTTTATTAAAAATTTGTCTAGCCATTTTTGCTTGGTATTCTGTAACTGCAAAGTTATTTTGTACTTCTAATATCGACCAACTTGGGGGTGCCAGTGTTAGAAGTTGAACAATTGTCCTTTTGTCAGAACATAGAATTTTTTCTTTTATCAAGCTCATAATTTCATCAAAGTTTTTAGCTTTCTTTTTCATGTTATTTGTTTCATAACACAGTTTTGATGGAACATTGACTTGACTTTCAGTTTTTCTAGTAACGTTATTTACCATTTCGTTGATGCGCGCAATTTTTCGCTTTCCTTCTGAGAGAATATGTTTTGATGACTTAGAATGAGATTTTAGAGGAGATATATTAAAATTTTTGAGTTCTTCATTTATCTCCTGTCTTTTTGATTTGAATGATGGTATTAGAAAATCCTCATCTTGTTCCTGGCTTTGTTTCTTTTCTTTAAGATCTTTTTTTATGGCAATCTTTTGCTTACAAGGTTTGCAAAGTTTCTTCCCAGGAGCAATATTCAAACTACTTCTCATCATGACTTGTGACTCATTTATTGTAACTACTATGAGATTTTCTAAAAGTAATTGAATTGTATAAAGCTTATCTGCACAATTGTTCAAAACATTGTTTATGTTTTAGAAAATACAAATTAAAAAAGTATATATATATATATATATATATATATATATATATATATATATATATATATATATATATATATATATATATATATATATATATATAATATTTAAATTCTACATCTATTTACTTGTGATTTTCTTTGTATGTTTATTGAATGGATCACAACATGCTTTCTGCCATATAGGATACAATTTCAAATATTTTGTAGTATGTCTTTCACATAATATCGTTAAGTTTGATAACTCAATGTTACAGCGTAATGATATAGTTATTTTTTCTTCATTGCTTAAAGTTTCAATAACATCTTGTTGGCCATTGCATTCATCTGATGTCAATAAACCAATAGAACACATCTTATAATAAGTTACTTAGTATGAATGTATTTCCTAAAAAAAAAGGAAAAAATTGTTCTTTTCTACATAATTTTGAGTAAAAAAAAAATGAATATAGAAATAATTCAAACCTTTTCAGAATCCTTTTAATGTATAATTTTTTACATTGATAGATATTGTTAATTTTCTTTATAAATACTATATATATATATATATATATATATATATATATATATATATATATATATATATATATATATATATATATATATATATATATATATATATATATATATATATATATATATATATATATATATATATATATATATATATATATATATATATATATATATATATATATATATATATATATATATATATATATATATATATATATATATATATATATATATATATATATATATATATATATATATATATATATACAATCTATATATATCAAATTTTTAAAATTTAAATAAAATTTTACCGATAAATGTTGTTATAACTGAACTTTTTATAAACTAGTTTTTATAAAATTTTACAAACTATAGTTGTCAAAATTTTAAAAACAAATGCACTTCAATATCACACCTTGTCAGATTTTAAAAACAAAACAGGATGTTTTTTTCAGTTGTTAAGATCAAATAACAAATTTATTATATAATTAAGACTTCCTTAAATATAACTAAATTTAATATTTTACAAAATTCTATTTGCAAGTTTTTTAAACTAATTTATTGAAAATTTGATATATCTTTAAAATTAAAGTTACATATGTTTTAGTTGTTTTTCCAGTTAGATATTTTGTGCCTAGTAAGATTATAAGCAGCTGAAAATATTAACAGCAAAAAAAAAAAAATTTTGATGGGGGTGTTTTGAGATCTTGGGCCCCAAAGTTGGATTATAGAAACTAGTTGTTTTATTAACTTTTAAGCATGTTCCTTTTATATTTCAGCATTTTAAGTACATTTATTGAATTCAGCATCAAAAAAACATTATATATATTTATTTTCATATTTTTGCCATTTTTATTTCTTATTTTTTAAAAAAAAAATGTTTTTTTAGAATGTTATGAAAACCGGGTCATTTTGGGAAACCAGGTCAATGTTAAAATTGCAGTATCTTGTCAACCGCTTAACATTTTTAGCTAAAATTTTATGTTTTAACTTTTTTATTAAAGATGCAACAGCCAAAGAAGTTTTTAAAAAATTTGAGGAACCATGGTTCAAAATTTCCTAAATTTTGGGTGATTTGATGTGGAATTACCCTATTTCCATTTATTGGGCAAATGAATATATATTTTGCAATTACAATTGTTAGTATTCATTTTGTTTTAGAAATTCATTTATATTAATTATTGCAATGTTATTGCATTTTATAATTTTTTTTAATATTTTTTTTTTAATTTTTTGTACAGCTTTAACTTGAATGTTATGCCAACCACAAACAATCTTTTTTAACATAAAATATTCTCAAAAGAGACTGTCGAAATTTATTTGGGATCTGAAAGAAAAATATAATTTTGAGTTAAATTCGTTTATTCTAAAATTATTGTAATTAAATTAAATTGGTCTATCCTAAAAGCTGCGTCTATAATAGTTTCCGAATAATGTATTCTATGTTTGCAAAATAAAGTTGAACAATCACTAATTTAAAAAACTTATTAAATAAAAAATCTTAAATAATTTCTGAATGCAAGCATGGAAATAAGTACTTTTTAAAAAATCATAAAAACAAATGACTAAACAAAAATTCTCCATATTCCTTTTACAATTAATTTTATATTTATATATATTTATATATATAATCTTTAAAAGTCATATTCTTATTATATGATATGTTTATAAATATACAAGTTGATTTCAATAAAAAAGGCAACATATAATTTTTTAAAATATACTTTGATATAATAATACATCAAGAATATTTTGATGACTTATCGTGGTCATCGTCATAAGGTAATAATAAAACTTTACAAAATAACATAAAACAAACTGTTTTTAAAAAAAAAACTTTAAAAGGCGTAAAATATAAAACCAATAAAATAATATAATTGTGGTGTTGGTTAAATTTTATTCAAAATTAGTCTCTAAGTTTTTGTTTTAACATTACCTCTGTCATCTTGATTGAGAGGAACTGGCCCAATACCTTATGAATATCTCATGTCAAACTCTCTCTTTTTTTTTTTCATCTCCAGGGAATTTTTTAATCTCTAATTTTTCTTCTTATTATTAAGATTATTATTATTATATATTTATTTATAATAATAATAAATTATAATAATTCTAGAATTATATATTTATTCTAGAATAGTAGATTTATTAATCTAGAATTCTCTGGTTAGATTTAAAATTGAATTTAAAAATGTATTAAAGAATTTTTCTAAATTTTAAAAAAATGCTTAAGCTATGACTACCATTAGCAATAAACTGATTGGACATGAGTTAGGTAAAAAAAGGTTTAAATCCTCAAAATCATTGTTCAATATGTTAACAATAACAGAAGTTGCTTCATTGATTGGTACTGATGAATATAAATTAACTACATTGAATTACTTAAGTTTCATTAGTGTCTATCTTTCATTCTTTTGCATTTTTGACAAAACTACTTGAATAAATTAGTCAATTTTTGTTTAGTGTAAGTTTAATAATTTTAACCAGATACTCCTATGTTCCATGGTTGTTTGTTATATTTTTGTTTAGTGTTAGTTTAATAATTTTAACCAGATACTCTTATGTTCCATTGTTATGTGTTAATAGTGGAAACAAAAGAATTCATTAAGTAGTCTAACTTACCCTGTTTTCAGGTCTAATTTACCCTGTTTTCTTAGTTTACATAACAGTTTTTGAAGTTTAGTAGTGAATGTGGGTTCTGGTTTGTAATCAATAATTTTACTATTTTTTATTTGTTTTTCTGATTTACTTTAATTTTAGAATAATAAAGTAAAATCTGTTTCTTTAGATGTAAATGCTCTTTTAGGTTTTGCAAAACAAAGCTTTTATGTCTTGTTAAATTATCTTTTAATTAAAAAAAAATTAGTTAGAATTTTCAAATGTTTTTGTCGAAGAGTCTCTGTCTGTATTTGTTTATTTTGTCATTTGTATTCTAAGACACAATATATATATATATATATATATATATATATATATATATATATATATATATATATATATATATATATATATATATATATATATATATATATATATATCAGGGGATGCGGAGTCCCAAAAAAGACTCTGGATTTGAAAGTTACAAAAAGATTACTTCATCCTAGTTTTTGGTATCCAAGAGCTCTAAAAATATAAATAAGTTTATGGACTACTAATAGGAAAAAAAGACTTTTAGGTTAGAGAAATAATCATTTTTTGAACCCGGAGTCCTTAGGTATATTAGCGGCAAGGAATCCAGGAAGCCGGGGTTAAAAATAATAAGTTTCTCATGAACTTTTTTCTTATAGCAGATCATAAGTCAACAAACATGTTTAGAGCTTCTGGACACTAGAGACTTGGAAAAAGTAGAGATACAAAGCTGGAGTCCTTTTGGGACTCTGCATCCCTGATATATATATATATATATATATATATATATATATATATATATATAGCATCCTAGTTGCAACTTTTGTGGACATGTTTTTTTTGTTTTTGTTCTATTGTTTTTTTTTCACTTTTTTATACTATTATATATATATTTTTTACTCTTATTTTATTTCTTTTTTTATTTATACATATTTAAATATATTGTTTTATTATAAAAATATAATTTTTATATTAATTTTTTGTTATTTTTATTTATTTATTTTATATTATATATCATTTTTAACTTCATCTATTTACAAAAACGACTAATTACAATAAGATAATTAAATTTAAACCTTGCTGTAATTCTAACCCTAAGCCTAACTTTGATTCCTGGCCTAACCAAACCCTCAGTCGATGTAGCAGCACTCCCTTGCGAGTCAGGCTATTTGATAGTTGGTGTATGTACTTTTATATTAGCATAATGTGTTTACCATTATGCTAATATAGGAACTTCATTTTTTATAGGTATATATAGGTACATTTTTTTACAAAAAAAATAATGCTTATGGGGAAAAAAATTAACGGGTACACTAAAATAAAGTTTTGGAGTATTTTTATTTGTTCCCAAAAGCTGCAACAAGCAAAATGTGCCTCAACACGCATTATTAAAAGACACTTAATACAAAAATAGATGTTCTCAAATGTAATAACAACAATAAAAATTAAATTAATAAATAATAATTTAGTACACAAAAGTGATATATTTTGTTAAACCCAGTTGTTTTAAATCAAGGTAATTAGTTTGAGAAAAAAATAAAAATAAATAATAGATAATTTTGCAAATTAATCTTATTTAAAGATTATTCCAGCTTATAGAGGTAGACTTGAGGTAGCTTATAGAGGTAGACTTGATGTTAATAAATAAGTCAAAAATGATAACGATATTAAAAAATATAACAAAGAACAAACTCTAACAAAAAGCGGAAAATATTTTATTAAATTTTTTTCAAATGTAAATCACTGGGTGAAATTAGCTATTATTGTGCAAAAGGGTTCTCTAGCCTTGGATTGTTTCCACATACAAAAAGATACTGGTTGCATGATGATACCTTGGATTTACTTTTTAAAAACAAATAAAAAGTCTCTGTAAATAAATTGCCAGTTTTGTACTTAACGTACAAAACTTTTAGTTGTAACCCTTTTGTTTTCAATTTTAAATAAATAAAACCTGTTTTAAAAAATTCGAAAAAGTTTGAACATTTTTCCTAAATAGCTCAAAAGTGTTTGAGTTCGAACTTTTTTAAAAACGTTCAAATTGGCAGTCCTAATAAGTGCAGAAGTATTTAGTTCAGGTTTGCTTTCAATATAAATCTTAATAATAAAAATTAGGAGGTAAAAATAGAATGCTCACTTGGTAAGCAAAACATTTTGGAATAATAAGATTGGGTAAGAATTTAACAATAATTAAAAAAGAGATCCTCTTAGCCTCTTTGCCTCACAGTTAGCTTGGAGAGCTGACTACAGTTTTAAAAAAAAATCAAAAACCTCATAATAAGCCTCATAATAAAGAGATATTCTTATGAAAAATTAGATTAAAGTAAAATAAATTCAGGTTTATATTTCAGGCTTATATTACAGGTTATATCACAGGTTTATATCACAGGTTTATATCACTTTAATGCAGATTTATATTACTTTAGTATATTTTTCTACTTAGCGATATTACTGAAAAATCAAGTTCAGCAAAGTACAGTTTGGTCATGGCTTGAACCATCTATGACTTACACATTTAAGTACTTGTGGGTGGTTCCATTGTTTTGGCTATGTAAAATACTGAACTGTTTTTGGTTCTTGGTTAGTAATTAAGAATAATATTTTTTATAGCAAAAAAGTTAAGTTTAGTTGAATTTTTTTTTATTATTATAAGAAAAATTTTTTTTCTCTTTTTTGTTTTTATTTTTTTGTTTTGTTTTGTTTTTGATGGTTTGACCATATTATTTTATTGATAAAATTAAAAAAAAAACTTTATCTAGGAGATTGCAGATGTAGCTTACAGGAAAAAATTGGGTAGACCTGTAACATCTCTTATTGCTACTAAAGAGAGGTTTTTATTTTTTATTTTCTATTTATTTGGTTTCTCTTAACATAAATTTTATACAAAGAAAACTAGTTTGTTTATTTAGTAATGTGTGAACTAGTTTGTTTACTAAATTATGTAAGCATAGTAACCAACTGGTTACTATGGTACCAAATTATGTTTTAAAGAACTTAAAGTCTTGAAGACTTATAATTTTAAGTTTTTTATTGTAACTGACCTCTTCAGTACCAGACCTCTTCAGTGAGTTTGTTTTTTACTGCTACCTAAGTGAATATTATGCTTTTAATAGAAAATATTTTTTTTGAATTAATATAAAAAGGATTAGAAATTAAATAATGGTATTGAATATAAAGTTTATTGTCATAAAATTTATTTTTAAATTACTTTCTTGAATATATATATTTGTATTTTTTCTTTAGTGTGTTTAAAGTAATAAGCAAAATGTTGGCTGATTTTTTGTTCAGCATACAAGTTGAAATACTTTTTCTGATTCAGGTAATTTTTTTTCATTGTTAAAATTTGTTATTAGTGTCTGATAATTTTTTGTTGCTTGTTCACTCATGCTATTCAAAATTAGTAAATTAAAGATTCAAATACTTTGCTAATAAAATGTGAATAATCAAGACATCTTAAACAGTCATTTTCCAGGAATATGTAGTTTTGAGAGTAGTGAGTTCTGGGAAAAGGAATGTCTTGTTATTGTCTTGTTATCACAAAGAGTTTTAGTTAAGAATAAGTTTAGCAATGGAAGCAGTAATGATTTGGATGTCTTGATTATCCTGTTTCTCTAGGATGTCTTGATTATCTTGTTTCTCTGAGATGTCTTGTTTATCTTGCTTCCCCATGATGTCTTAATTATTCAGTTTCTCTGAGATGTCTTGATTATTGTGTTTCTCTGGGAAGTCCTGGTTGTTCTGTTTTTCTGGGATGACTTGATTATTCTGTTTCTGTGTGGTCATTAGGTTCAAGAGTGTGGTCATTAGGTTCAAGAAATTAACAATTTCATAATATTGATACATATGCTGGTAAAGAAGAAATTATTTCAAAATGTATATAGATAAAGATTTAATTATTAGTTCTTTCCAAATAGCTAAATAGTTGTTGTCAATAGTTCGGCTAAATAATTATTATCTCATTCTTCTTTGTGTATGGGGTGTAATCTTTAGCTGTCTTTCAGGTCTTCTGGTAACATTATCAATTGCTTTTGAAAGATTCTTTTGATAGTTGAAATACAACTGATTTACAAAGGATACAACTGAGGATCCAAGTAATGGCTTTGGGATAACATTAGAATTCAAGCAATAGCTTTAGAATAGAATAATTTTCTACTGTTTATTCTATGACAAAGCTATTGAAATGCACAAAATTGAACTGTTTATTTAGGGAAAATCATTTTTGCTCTACCTGTTTTAATTATTTCTTACAAAAATATTTTCTGTGTGTGTGTCAGGTGAAATACAAATATAGTTTTTTTGTTAAAAAATTATATACATTTTAATCTAACAGAGGGAATAACTGTAGATATAACCTTGAAATTATGAATTATTCACCTAAACACAGTTTTTAGCTGTGACTATATCGTTAGTTAATATATTTCAAACAAAATTCAACAAAGTTGTTTCTGTTTGAAATATATTAACTAACGATATAGTCACAGCAGGTACATTTACAATAGCAGAAACATTTTTTTAGTTTCGTATACATCACAAAAATATTTTATGTTTTGCAAGTTTAGCCTTTGATAAATTTGAAAAACATCATAAAATATTTTTGTCATGTAAAAAAATTTCTGTTCATGTTTATTGTTGAACATCAAATAAATGTTTCTGCTAATGTATTGCAAATATTGACAATGACTATTTTGTTAGTTAATATGTATAAATCATCATAAAAATATCAATATAAACTTCATAAAAACTTGATATGTAATTTAATTTTTCCACCTGTTTTGCACACAATCTGTTGTTGGAATCTAAAAAGTCTTGCGTTTTAAAAAGACCTAAGTGTCAATATATAATAGCTTTGTATATTGAATCTCCTAGAATTATACTTACATAGATCTTTTAAGGGGGTTGTATAGTAATTAAAATTAAAAAATCATTTTTTTTTAAATTCATTTTTATATCAATAATGATATAAAAATGAATTTAAAATGAATGTAATGATTGTGATTATTGTAAGTAAGCGATAATCCAAGAAGACGTAAAGAGGACGACTCAGTAAGAGGATTGCCATTCATTAATATAGGAATGTTGACCATATTACGGTAGTTGTTTGCAGTAAGCAATTGGGTTTTTTTAGAGTTGAAATTCACAAGCCACTGTGAACCCCAATCTATTACTGAAGTGAGATCAGATTCAAGATCAGCTGCTTGTTCTAGGCGATCGAAAAGAGAAGACTTTTTGTCAAGACAGGAGTATAAAGTTGAGTCATCAGCAAAAAGAGCTACTTTAGATGAAAGGTTGTCAGGAAGATCAATTATGTAGATAAGAAACAAAACAGGGCCCAGGCTTTTCAAACGAAGTTTATTTTTAAACACTTTAAATTGTTTTATTGGATTCTTCGACTCAAAATATGTAATTTAATGAATGTAATGATTGTGATTATTGGACTTTTTGTGTCGGTTGTCAGCACAGTATCCACAGTATATTTAATCATACAAAGATATATCAATTAACCGCATACAAAACCTATTGGAAAATTTTAAATTGAACTTTGGTTTAATAAACTATTAAATTATGTAAAAACTTGCTCTCTCACTGTAACCTTGGCTAATCTAAACTTGGCTGTATGATTATCAATACCTGAGAAGAGTTGACAATGCTGTCTCAGTAGACTTGATTCTGCTTACTGGTTTTTAAAATTAGTTAGAGTTTATCAATACTGCTACTACTACTACTACTACTACTACTACTACTACTACTACTACTACTACTACTACTACTACTACTACTACTACTACTACTACTACTACTGCTACTGCTACTGCTACTGCTACTGCTACTGCTACTGCTACTACTACTACAACTACAACTACCACTACTACTACTAGTACTACTGCTACTGTCACTACTTGGGTAGTTGAGTTCATTTTCATGTGTTTGAAAAAAAACTCATTTACCCAAGTAGTAACATTTGTGTATTATTGTGTATAGGAATAAAAATAACAAGACCAAATATTGCATAGCCAAGTCCAAAGACTTATAACACTGGTGTTAAATATGCATAGTTATGTTTTGACATAACTATGCATATTTAACTAACTATATTTTGACTTTAACAAAAATAATTGATTTATGACTTTCCTTTTAAATGTTTTTTGAATTATTATAGCAAAATGCAAATCTTTATTTCTGTATGTGTTTTAATTTATATATTTATATATCTGTTTTAATTTATATATTTATATATCTATATACTATATTAACGAAGCTTACCTATATTTAGATGAAAAAAAACTTATATAAAGATGAAAATGTTTAAAGATAATAATATATATATTTTTAAATTTAGGCACAATTAGTTGGTTTGATTCCTGTAGTTGGTCCTGCTCTTTCATTTATTCATATGGCTCTTTTGTATTCTCTTTATGCATTTGAGTACACATGGGCAAATTTAGGTGCAAGTTTTTTTTGATTAATGTTAATGGTGCTTTTTTTTAAAGCTTTTTTTGATTGTTTAAATTAAATCAAGTTTATTTTTTATGAAAAAGAATTTATAATTACAAGAATCTGATTTATGAAACAAAATATGTTTATATATATATATATATATATATATATATATATATATATATATATATATATATATATATATATATATATATATATATATTTATATATATATATTTAAATATATATATATATATATATAAACATATATATATATATATAAACATATATATATATATATAAACATATATATATATATATATATATATATATATATATATATATATATATATATATATATATATATATATATATATATATTATATATATATATATATATATATATATATATATATATATATATATATACACACAAACACACACACATATATTATATATATATATATATATATATATATATATATATATATATATATATGTATATATATATATATATATATATATATATATATATATATATATATATATATATATATATATATATATATATATATATATATATATATATATATATATATGATACAGAGTTATCTAAAGAAATTTGGAAACTTAAAGAAGAAAACTTTTTGTTTGTTATTAAATGGAAAATTATCAAGCGTTGCCAAACATATAATCCTTCGTCCAAAATTTGCAATCTTTGTCTTAATGAAAAGTATTTTATTTTAACGCATACAGGGGGAAACCTGTTGAACAAAAGGAACGAGTTGGTTTCAAATTGTAGGCATAAAAATAAATTCCTTCTTTCGTTTTATGATACTGGCCATTAGCTGATTTATATAAGATTTTCTTTGACGTTTTCTTTTTTTGTCTCTATAGAGACGTCAGATGTCGCTCCACTGTATTTTGTAATTTTATTAACGGTTTGTTTGTTTTTGATATAGTACATGGCTGATGATTGCCGTATAGGCATGAAACTATTAGTCCCATGAAAAGTTGTTTTTTCTATATGTAAATAAAAATAAATATATATATATATATATATATATATATATATATATATATATATATATATATATATATATATATATATATATATATACCGCTCTAGTTAGAAAGTTGTTTACTTTCTTTATTATTGAGCACTCTTAACCGAAATAGAGTTTTGTATTACTATTGTAATACAAATTTAACATCAATCGATATATATATATATATATATATATATATATATATATATATATTTTATATATATATATATAGAGAGAGAGAGAGAATGTGAGGTCACTGTTAGCACACGTGAGAACTGAGAAAAATGTGAGAAAAATGATACAATTTTATAAAAATTAAAGATGTGATAATAAAAATTGTTTATTTGGCCTAATTCAGCATTATGAAACACAGTAATCACATACAAGAGTTATGAAAAACAGTAATCACATACAAGAGCAAAAAAAAGTTTAATTTGCTGACCCTGCAATCTTTTTGTTTTGAAAACATTAAATCTTATGAAATTATTTTATAAAACTATTTATATGACTTTTTTGACATGTCTTAATAAAGTTTGATACAAATAATGTTGAGCTCATGCAGAGTTTAGTCTATCCCAAACCTTACTGATATTGATTAATGTAATGCACAGTAGGTAGAAATGGGAAAAAATTTAGTTGTCTAATCTTAACAGTTTATTTAGTTTTAGTTACTGTATATATTAAGAGAAATTTATTGATAATTTATATTTATAGATAATTAATCTATTAAATCTCTTAGTTACCAGGACTCTGAGCATTTGAATATTAAAATTTGAAAAAAAAAATTATAATTATAAATAAGTAATTTTGGTTACATCAACGTTGATATTTCAATTACATCTGCATTGTCAAAATACCCAATTAGTACATATTATTTTAGAGTATTTAGAGATAAGAAAAACCATTGCATAAAATAAATTTGTCATAGCATGTTATCTCAGTTATACTTTGAAAATCACAGATTAAAAAATAAAATTATTTTTTGTGACACTATAACTAATAATTAACACAATTTGCTATGTGCTGTCTTAAATTTATCTGATCTATATGATGCTTTAATCGAGTTTCCATTGATTGCTTGTCCCCTTAGGTCCCTGTTCAAATTTGATATGTTTTAATTTTATTGTTATGGTATCTAATTTTGCATAGCAACAACCTGTTTTTACATTAACCTTGTTTTAACAGTTTTTTATTTGCACTAAATACACAATAATAAATGTGTGTATCAAAATGAGGTTCATATTTCTTATAAGGGTAAATTTGATATGGATACCTTTCTTACCATAGCATAGCAACAACATATTTTTGGTAGTTGTTAGTAGTTAAATTACTAACACTAACAGTAATTTAAGTGCTTTTAATTAAAAATTTTAATTGTTAAAATTTTAAAGTTATTCATAATTATTAAAATATTAAAATTTATTAAGCCAAAAATTGCTTAGTTTGAAGACGTTGATTTTAAGCAATTTAATTTTCTACAATTTGTTTACTTGTATAAATAAAGGTGGAAATCTTCTAACTATACTGTCAAAAATTAGAAAAGAAGTTTGTGAATCTGCTTAATAAATATTTAATTTTAATTAAATATTTAATTAAATGAATATTTAATTTAATTGTCAGAAAAAAAGTCAATGTACTTGACATTTGTAAATAGCTATTTACAAGTTACCGACTTGGTCGAAAATTTGATGGTAGTTCTAATAAAGTTAAAACAACTTTCATCTCATTCATCCAATCAATTATTATTTCATCTCATTCATCCCATGAATTATTTTTTGCTGTAATTGCTGCCAAGAACGTTTCAAATATTTTAAATACAGATAAAGCAAGTAAATATTCAGCAGATAAAGCACTGGCTTTAATAATTGATGCCAGTCTGACAAAATATTCCTATCAATTGAGTAGAAGTGGAGCCTTTGAGAAAGAATTTATCTACCCCACTTTCAATGATATCAGGGTTGCAAAGTTGAAATGTTATCCTGAAAATATAACAGTGGAGGACTATTCAGCTTCAGTTCCTTTAAAAGATTTGATGATTCATTTGCAAAGAATCAGTGCAGTTCAGAAACCTGTGAGAGGCACTTTGTATTAAGTGACAATGCAATAAAAACAATGACTCTCATGTATAAGGCTGGTTTTGATAGTGCTGCTGGCCAAATTTATAAACAAGTTTTATCAGAATCTGACATGAACTATTATTACTTGTCTAGCTCACTGGGTTTAACAACAGCAATAAAAAAGTACCTATTTGAAGAAATCAAAAGTCATCATCTACAGCCTATTTGGAGACCTTTTTGCATTACAAGATTTGCATACAAAACAGAATCGAAGATTAGAATCAGAATCAAAGAAGATCAGTACGATAAAAATGAAAAGAAGCTTGGGTATGATTTTATTAGATGTTTGTGGATCTTTTATTGAAGTGAATTGTATTATTGAACTTACAATGATTGATGGGAAAGTTCAAACAGTATTATTTGGAAAAACTCATACTAAGCTGTTTAATGAGTGGTGTCTCTCCAAAAAGTATGAATACTTTAAATGTTTTGATATCCTTAATATAGATTATACTCACAGAGAATTTAAGTTTGGACTTTCCAGTCTCCATGCATGGATCTGATTTTTTAAGATGATTTTGCAGGTTGTATATAAAAACAAACAAGAAAGTGTCAAGCAAACAACACAAAGAAAAGGTATCTGTAACTAAACAAAAGATTTAGACTTATTTTATGAACGAAATTGAGCTTGTTGTTGGTTTACCCAAAAGTGGTCGTTCTGAATCAAGCAATGATGACATTACTTCAAGGGGTGCTTTTATATTATCTTGGTGACATATATTGTATTGACATTATTAGATTATATGTGTCCCTTAATTCAAGGTATTACATGGCTCAATCAGTGCACAAAGTATTGATACATAGACATGACATAATTCAGAGCCTTACATTACCCATAAGACTTAGAGGAAGCTCAAGAGAAATAAAGACAAAATAAAAATCTGATGAAATTCATTCAAAAATTAATTTACCACTTTGTATTTATAAAAAATTATTATTTAACTTAGCAATTTAAGTCTCCATAGCAACTAAATAAAATAAAAAATTATTACTTTTACAAAGAAGCGCGATCTCATATTGGTACTCGTGCCAAATTTAGTGAGTTTTGTTTTGCTAAGCAGAAAAAAAGTATCTATAGCAACAAAATAAAAAAAATAACACCTTCATAAGAAGCGCAGACATCATATTAGTACTCATGCTAATTTTGGTGAATATAGCTCTAATATTAATTTAGTTATAAATTTTGTCCAGTAAAAGTGAAGTCCACTGTGGAGTGGTTTAATTTAAAATAACTGATTACAAACTAGAATAAATTACATTTTTTAGTTTTGAGTATTGAAAATTAGTTTACAAACTTTCATCATATTTCAATAAATTTTGTTTTAAAATATTTTGGTTGAACTCAATTTAGGTTGGAATGTTGTTAGGCGACTAGCATACATAGAAAATAACTGGCCATATTTTGTTGGTTTCGGCGCATTATTAACAACACTTACAAACATCTCTTCATCAACAGTTATTAGGTAACATTTAACGGCATTATTTTCTCGCTTCTCCATCAGTTTTTCTCGCTTCAGATTGTATTATTTCATTTTTTTTCTCCGTGATTTGCAATGTTTTTGTATACAATTTTTTTTTAATAGTGCTTGTGTTTTTGGAATTATCTTTCCAGTATTCATACTTAGCGGATTAGAAGCGCAACCTATCTTAGATGGGTAAGGATTGGTTTTTAAGTTTTTTTTAGTAAAATTTTGCTGATCAGAGTTAAACATTATTTTAAATTTATAAAAAAATTTTTTTTGGCTGTAATAGACCTTAAATCAAATAAATCCTTGATTTGTTAAATCGACGTTTTAAAATCTGAACGTAAAATCTGAAAGTATTTTACATTTTTTAGTGATATTTCGTATTAAATATTTAAATTCCTAAGTTAATCTATTTTTTGAATATTTAAAAAAAAAATTTATTATCAGGGCTATGAAGTTTACTTTTTTATTTTAGTAAATATCCTTTGAGGCTGTTTTCGTTTGTTATTTGGCTCACGAACAGAACATTTCTTTTCAAATCAAGAATCGTTACCTGATGGAATTATGTTCCATTGAATTTGCAAGAATTTGCAGAACAACTAGAATTATAAAATTAAAAGTTTCTAATCATTTATATTAAAATATTTTTTAATCTGAATTAATAAATGTATGATGTAAAAATTTTCTAAATGAAAAATTGAAGTTTAAAATTTAAAAATAAAGTTTTTTTAAAAGAAAAGTTTTGTTTTTTATTACCGTAAAACCAATAACATTAGATTTAGAAGAAATATTTGGTTTACTTTTGTAGGGGAGGCTTTTTATTATTTTTTAATACGTATTTATTTAATCTTTAAACAATATTAATTAAAAAAATAATTTTTAGTTTTGATATTTAAGCGATTGTTAATGATAACAAGCTAAACTTGTAGGAATATATAAAATAAGACAAAGATTACAAGATAACAACAGTGCAAAAGATAACAATACAAAAGAATACAGGATAACAAGTTAACAGGTAACAATATATTAAGACAAAAGATAACAGGCTAAATTCTTAATAATAATAATAATAATAATAATATATATATATATATTATATATATATATATATATATATATATATATATATATATATATATTATATATATATATATATATATATATATATATATATATATATATATATATATATATATATATACATGTTATATATATATATATATATATATATATATATATATATATATATATATATATATATATATATATATATATATATATGTATATATATATATATATATATATATATATATATATATATATATATATATATATATATATGTGTGTGAATTTTTTTATAATAAAGAATTTAATTCAAAGACGTCATTATTGCTATACTTCTCTTTTGATTAAAGTCACAAAAAAAGTTTGTCTCATTTACTCAACATGCCTGATCAGCTTGAGACTGGTCAACGTATACTCACACTTCACTAAGAATTTTATCTAAAACCAAAACAGAGAAAAGTATGAAAAAAATCTTTAAAAGTAAATAAACGAGCAATTATTGGTTTTCATAAAAATTTTTTTGGTGCGTCAACTTTTGAAATAGTTCGCATTGATACCAAATAATTAGCCAAGATGTTATGTTAGTATATAATAAAGTTGCAAGTGAAAGTATGATACAAGCCGAGTTTCAAAAAAACTTAAAAAGCCGTTTTGATTAGCAAAGAGGACTTCTGGGAGCATCTTAATAACAAACAAACAAAAAATCACACCAATAAACTGAAATTTATATATATGTTAATTTTTTTTCTATACTTTAATACCTAAAAAAAAGAAATCAAAGAAGATTCAGCATTTTTGGGTATAAAACTCCAAAAAAAATCTTTTCGCAGATTCCCTTAATAGCGCCTTTTGGCGTAAATCTATGTCTATATAAAAAGTTAAGTAAAATTAGAAATAATTTTTTGTAATTAGCTTTGTAATTACTATTTCTACTGTTATATATATATATATATATATATATATATATATATATATATATATATATATATATATATATATATATATATATATATATATATATATATATATATATATATATATATATATATATACACATACACACATACATATATATATATATATATATATATATATATATATATATATATATATATATATATATATATATATACATATATACATACACATATATATATATATATACATATACATACATACACACACATACACACATACATACATACACACACACATATATATATATACATACAAATACACACACATACATACATATATATACACATATACACATACACACACACACACATATATATATATATGTATATATACATTTTATTTATTTATTTTTATTATTATTATTATTATTGTTATTATTTTTTTTTTTTTACAAGCTAACAATATGCAGCTTTGCTTGCCGTTTAAACGACGATATTCCATTTAAGTCTTTTAATTTTTGATTTTTCAAGTTTTTCCATATTTTAGGACCCTGTGACATAATTGAAAATTCAGAACCCCGGGTTTTAGTTTTTTTAATATAATAGTTATGGAAGCTATTTGATCGTAGATTATAACTTTGAGAAAATGATGATGAGAATATGTCTAAAAAAGAATTTGGTAGTATATTATTTTTATATTTAAACATAAAAATAAGAATTTGATATAAATTAAGTTTTTCCAAGTTTAAGACTTTCATATTTGTCATTGCATTAGAAGGATTGTCCATTCTACCTGGATAATGAATTACTTTACAAATATGGTTTTGCAAGCTTTTTAGTTTGATTAATTTTGTTTTGTGTGTATTAGCCCACACTATATTAGCATATGTCAGATGACTGTGAATTAGACTAAAGTAAAGTTTTTTTCTTGAACAGAAGTCAAGAAACGGGCAACATTTATATAAAATACCTATTGCAGATGATATTTTTGTTTCAATGTGTCCAATATGATTTCTCCATGATAAATTTGATGTTGACAGGCTATTATTAGAGTTGCACAGCTGAACTATACATCATTAGATAGCTTATTCCTTCAGCTACAAAACTATGTAAAATTATTTAGATTTTATGAGAGTAGTTGGTAGTACCATTATAAATTGTACAGTGTGCACTGATTCTCGCCCACTTGAACTCAATCTCGCTATATTGATATAAAGTCGCCAACTGTGTAAATTAAAAAAGAACTTATACTTGCGTAGGGCAACGTTATATATAGGTGAGTGAGATTAAATCTCGTTAGTTAATTTCTATGCTCAATTGCACCATTTTATTTAAAAAGTATGGGGTTTTTGTGAATGCTGCTCGAAACAATTATACGTTATCGGTAAAGCTCGAAATGGGGAACCAACTCATTAAATGGTTAAGTCCTTGCGGCGGTTTTTAGTGATAAGACCATTAGGTCTTATAACAAATAAGACCATTAGAGTAATTTTAAATAAAAATAATAAAAAAGTTTATATAAATAAGTTTTATAAAAAATTTCCCATTTTCTAATTTCTTTTTCTTATTCAATACCTTTTTTTCTTTTTTTTCTTTGAGTTGCTTATCAGCATTAACAAATCGCAGTTGTTTTCTTTCGCATTTTTCTTTTTCCTGTTGGATTTTGTCTTGGAGATATTTCGGCTTTGCTGAGTATGCTTCTTGAGAAGTTAAAATGAAGTATTTAAGCTGACCTTTTCTGTTCGCTATCTTTTTCCGTGCGGTGGCCTTCGGATATGCTAAGACATCGTCATTTCCATCACCTTTATTGATAAAATCATATATATTCAATAAAAGAACAAGTATTTAATAAATTTAAAGATTGAATTATTTTAAAAACAAAAATTTAATAAAAGTTGCATTGTTGCTATGCAACTATTGATTACTTGATCAAATGAAATGAAAAAAACGTTAAAATGATTGACTGACTTACCAGGGTATGAAGAGTTTAGAAACGGAAAATCTGAAACTGTAATAGAATTAAAGTTTGATGGTTGTAAGATTTCTTTTTTTTTTTTGCTTAGTAAGATTGTTAAAACTATCTACAATGCAGTCAATATTTTTTTCTTCAACTGGTTTAACTTAATATGCAAGCTGATTATTACGAACAGTCTCTTCCTCCAAAATAGAAGTGTTGCTTTGTAACGAACTGTGAGTTGCGTTATCTTCTTCAGTGGCATTTTTTAATTATTCTAGATAATTCTAGATAACTTTTCCAGCATCTCTGGAAGCATCAACGTTTAAAAAACTAATTTCTTGAACAATTGATGGTTGGAATTTGTAAGAAAATAATAAATAATACTATTAAAATGCAAGTAAGTAAACGCTTCATTATAAGAATCCATAACTGCTGTAGAGCGATAATAATCCATCAGTAGCTTGAATAAATTGTGGTCGCATGATTGAAGCCAGTTTGATGCGTGTGAAGGCATTTCAACTAAGAACTTTTTTTATGCTTCATTTCTTATTTATTCTTATTTATTTTTTTATTAATGAAATTCGGTAATATGTTTATAATATATTCCAAATTTTATGTTAAAATGACTAGTATATTTTAAGTAGTTATTTCACAAAAATTTGGAATTTTTTCTTTTTAATTAGTTAATCGAGGCAAAGATTTTCAAGTTTGAAATATTAAAAAATATTTTTTTTACTGATGTATTTATGTTTTAAAAAAAATTTTACTATAGTTCCAATGAAATTTTTTTATATTTCTTGATGTACCACAGAAGAGTTGAGCTTTATGGGTTCTACAAGGTAAAGGTCCCGCTGAAGGTTAAAATCAGTTTGAAACTGAAAAATAAATGGACAACATGCAGGGCCGCATAACAGGTTACACAAGTGACAAGGTAGCGTTGGGCCCCTTGCTCTAAATGGACCCTGCGGATACCTTTAGAATGCTATTAAAAGAATGAAAAAGACAAATAATTTTTTAAAATTCAATTATGGAGTTTATTTAATTTAGAATACTTCAATACTTAAAATATTTGAAACTATTTTTTCTTGAATTCTCAAATCATTAGTCGTTTTCATGCAAAATTTCAGAGTATTTATAAACTTAATGTAAATTTTTCTACTCAAAGCACAAATTTAACAAACGAGCAAGATTAAAAAAAATAAAAAGGCATATAGAATAACAGCAATACAACAGCATTATGTTAATAAAAACTTTATTGATGTTTTTGTTTAAAAAATTGAAAGAAACGAATCAAAATATATGGTCTTAAACATTTTTTTTCACAAATACTGTTTGTCAATTTTGAATCAATTTAGCCAGTCAATCAATACAGTATATATTATTTTTATTTTTAATTTAAATTTTTTTTACCTTATTTACTGAAAAAGTTTAATAAAAAAAAAGACTATATTTTTTTCAAAATGTATTATATAACAAAATTTATCTTTTATTTTATTGACAAGATGCGGAAACCAACAAAACAAGTCTATCTTGATATAGGAAGAAAATCTTTTTATTTGGTGCCCCTATCTTTATATCTGCCGCCCGGGACAAACTATCCTATTCGCCTCCCCTCCCACCCTCTTGGCGTCCTTGCGAAAGTGGCAGTACAAAAAGAAACTTAACTGCAAAAAAAAAAAAAAAAAAATGAAAGTGAAAAACTCAAAAGTGCTTCGAAAAAAATAATCAATACTGACAAGGAACCAGGCGAAAAAAACCAAAAAAAATCCAGAAGAAAATAATGAAAAAGAAAATAATGAAAACAAAAACAACGTCTAAGATAAAAAAGATGAAAAAGAAAGTTATGTTAAATGAAATAAAATTTATGACAAAGATGTAGAAGAAAAAACTGCAAAAGATAATAAACAAAATACCCAATTAGAGAGTCATAAACTAAACATTACACTAAAACAACTCAACCCAATACGACTAAGAGTATATTATAATGAAGAACCAAATATAACAGTTGAGCCCGAGATAATTAGTCAACCAATAATAGGCTATTTAGTTAAAAAAAGGACAACAAAACATTTTTTCAGATGAAAGATCATTTTCTAGATTAAAATCTATAAAAAAATTATCTTAGATCAACAATAACTCATGATAGATTAACAATAACTCATGATAGATTAACAATAACTCATGATAGATAAACAATAACTCATGATAGATTAACAATAACTCATGATAGATAAACAATAACTCATGATAGATTAACAATAACTCATGATAGATTAACAATAACTCATGAGAGATTAACAACAACTCATGATAGATTAACAATAACTCATGATAGATTAACAATAACTTATGATAGATTAACAATAACTCATGATAGATTAACAATAACTAATGATAGATTAAATAGTTTAGCGATCAAGCCGATTAAAAATCAAGAATAAAGTTTAACAAAGTACTTAAAAAATATTTTCTGAGAAAAAGATAAGCTTTTTCAATTCATTTTAAAGTTATCTTTGTCAACCTAGTGTCTCTTTGCTTGAATCATGCTTAAATGTATTTTTTTATATGGAGAGATTTAGAGATTTAGGTCCTTATCGATTTTGCTTTCGACTAATAATTTTAATTAGTATTTCATCTAAATTAATTAACATCTTTTGCATTAGATAAATTCAACCAACACTTTATTTTTTTCTATTTAGTAACTTTTTATTTTATTTATTCAAAAGAAAAGTTATAAATTTTATTGCAAGTTATGTTGTGAAAATTTATTTTCATATATTTGTTTATTACTTTTTTTTCTTACGAATTTGATAATTCACATATTTTTACTAATTATTTCATTATTTTAAATCAAATTTAATATTGTTTGCTGTATTTAAAATTTTATCAATTAAATAAAATTGTTGAAATTTTTTGATATTTTCATAGTCCAATTAATTAATTTTTCTTCTTTTTTCTACTTTGATTCCCTTGTAACTTTTTGTTTCATCTTTATAAAAAGAAAGTCTTATGTATATTGGTAACAGTTAAATATTCCCCTCATATTGTATTGCCATATTAGCATACAATTACTCTACAATCATATTATTGTGTTTGGTTACATTGTAAGGCAAATATTTTATCACAGTTTAAAGTTCGCATATTAATCTTAACTAAATCATTGCAATCATGTATAATCATTTGGATACGAGGTTTACAAGTGAGGCTACAAGTGAGGCTAGCGTTATGATACTATCACCCTGATGCCATTTTATGAAACTATCACAATGCAACTATACTACAATATAACAATTAATTTCTTGAAATCTTAAAATGAACTACAAAAATTTATAAATACAAAATTTTTTTTTTAAAAAAAAACAATTTTTCTTTAATAAACTCTAAAAAATTCTATAAATTATTAACTACGAAATTTATACATAAAAATATTTATAAATGCCTAATAATTTTTTTTTAATACTTATTAGAATGTTCTAAAAAGATCAAAATCTTGTAGTGCCCATGCTTTGTCTCCATTGCAACCATCAGTCTTTCAATACTTAATATAACAAACTATATTTTTGGTTCAAAAACAAACTGTTCAATAGATAAAATGTTTTTGCCACAAGTTGGACATCTATAAGAATTATCTGCTAAAAGATTTCCTTTTATGCAGTACCAACAAAACAAATGGTCACAATTACTTACTTGAGGGTTAGTAGGTTTTTCACCACAAATGTTACAGTTTAGCTCTAAATTATCTGTTAATGAATTTACAAAACCAAAATATTTAATAATTAACATAAAAAAATTATAAAGTTTCGGAAAATTGATGAAAGGTAGCACACAGAAAATTGTTTCAGTAATTTTGGACCAAAGCAATTCTTTTCGCATATATGTGTAATCTATATATCGTGGAGATGGTTTATCCAGCCGTACCGTTTTCCAGTTGAACAATCTATCAAGTAAGTTTAAATACTCTCCATTTTTAATAAATAACACATAATTAACGAATTCAGCAAGTTGGAAGAGTGTTCCAAGTTTTGAAACAATTAGTGTAATATGAGGATTTTTAAATAATTTTTCAAAAACATGAAGAATATCAAATTGTCTGTTAACAATCCAGTATCTGGTTGAATTGAGAAAAAAATAAAACAATTTTTGCCTCTCTGATATACCATTAGGTGAAACGTACTTCATTTTGAAATATAACTGTCCAACAGTAGAATCTGATTTCTGCAACGAATATTTCCATATAATGAACTGTAATAAAACATCTATCTCTTGTTCATAATGGAGCAATCTAGTAAATGGCTTATTTAAAAGAGATCCTTTTATTTCACGTTTGATAATACGAAAAGCTTGATTAGTTAGATAATCTGCATCTAGCTGTGTAACACGCAATGCTTTATATCCAGTATTATTCATATCTGAAAATGTATAAAGAGAATAAATATTATTTTTATTACATAATATAAATTTTTTATTTAACATCTTTTATTTTACACTATTTTTGTTTACATGGGTTTCCATTTTATTTCTATCTTTGTATATGATATCATAAAAGAGTTGAAGGAATTTTTTTACAAATTTAAAAGGCAAGTGTCTTTTACAATAACTTAACTTTAAGTTAACTTACCTTTTTACCTTTTTTAGTTGTGAGTAAAGTTTTTTTTTAATTCTGATTCACTCTTAACAGGGCTGCAGGCAACCACTACTAAATTAGGAGTTAAAATGAAAAAAAAGAATAGAATTATAGAGCAATGAAACGGTTGACGGAAAACTTGAAAAGTTGTAGGTTGTATGAGCCAAAAAAAAACATGAAGATGGAAGAGAGTTCTAAAGAGTTAAAGTGTGGGGAAAAAAACAAGACAAATCAAAGTTTTTAGGGCAGTAAACAAATGAGACTTAGAATAACGAGTCCTATGAGAATAAGTTTTAGGTAATGATAACTTCTTTGAGCAGTGACCATGATAGTATTTGTAGAAAAGAGAAAGAGATGCCTTGAGGTACCCCATAAGTTACTGGAAATAAAGAAGAGTGTTGGCTTGCAAGAATGACTTTAATAAAGCAGTTAAAAAGAAACGTTTTGACAATATAAAACTTTCCCAGATGAAGCTTATGGAGAATATCAACATACTTTTATCAAAATCTTTAGATATGTCAAGAAAGTCAGGAATAAGTTAGGAAGATATATGTATACAAATATATGTGTGTGTGACACACATGTTTGTATACTATCTATGTATACTATCTATGTGTGTGTGTGTGTCTATATATATGTTTGTATACATATATATATATATATAGACACACACACATAAGTCATATATTTATATATATATATATATATATATATATATATATATATATATATATATATATATATATACATATATATATATATACATGTATATATATATATATGTATATATATATATATATATATATACATATATATATATACATATATATATATATATATATATATATATATATATATATATATATATATATATATATATATATATATATATATATATATATATATATATATATATATGTATATGTATGTATATATATATATATATATATATATATATATATATATATATATATATATATATATATATCATGGCCTACTTTATAGAAGGCCTCGACACCGTGCGGGAATTTTTTTGACTGAAGGTCGATTTAAAAATAAAATGGCGGTTTATTAAAAGAGAAAAATGCTGTACAGCTTTGCTAACACTAATTATTTAATAACTAATTATTCTATTTAAAAAAAATTTTGGATGCATTTTTATAAAATGAGTTTCTTGACGTTAATTTGACAACTATTTTATAAGCTTAAATAGTTTGTAAAGTTGAATAGAAACATTTTAAATCAAATTTTAGAATATACAAGAAATAATAAATAATCAGAAAAATACACCAATAACAAATCTAATTTTTTTTGTACTAAATCTTCCCAAAAAAAAATTACATAAGCTTGATTTCTTTTAGTTTTGCTTCTTTATTACTTTTTGGAGTGTGAAGTAATGCAAAGTTCTTTAAAAAAATGTTTGCTAGTGTTTGGCATTGTTTCTTTGCAATAGAAAAACTATACAACTCTGCAATAAAAGCAAACTGTCGTATCAGAAATGTTCTGCAAACTTTTTTATCTAATAAAGAAAAAAATATGTAACAAAATAAAGACCACTGAGATAGAGTATCAGATGGAATAGTTAATCCTCCCCTATTTAAAGTATTCAAATAAGTATTCAATGTTTCAGTCAATCTGGATAACTTTATTAAATGGTTTTTTTCAAGTGTATATAAGTTAACTAAATCTCTCCAATTTGCAATGTAAGTTATCTCATTTTGAGTAAACTGTAACTGACCTAGTTTTTCTGTCAGCCAATTGTTTCTTATGCACTTTAAAAGATGGACATAGTCATATAAAATATAAGAGCCATTTTGACATAACCAAGGTTTATGTCAAAATGGCTCTTATATTTCAAAGCTTTTTTTCTAAATTCAAAACCGTCTACGGTTTTGAATTTAGAAAAAAAGCTTTGATTAACTTTATTTCCATCTGTAATAATTGCAATAACTTTACCATTACTCATAGAACTTTCTATGGTGTCTACAATTAATTTGCACTGTTCTTGTTGGAAATCTGATGTCAGATTACTAACTGGTAAAACTCTTGCTAGAAATTCAGGTCCACCATAAAGGCTTTTTACCATGAATGAAAGTACAGTAGTAGCTAATTTCTCTAGATTATTAACAGCTTTTCCAAAAATATTTCCACTTAGATATAATAGTGCTGCTTTTACATTAACTTCATCTATCAATTAAACACAATTTCTTTTTTTTTCATCAAGGTTCGATAACACAGAACTTAAAAAAGTTAAATCATCTTGAGAGTTTATTTTTGAAGTTATGCGTGTCAAAGTTCGAATACTTGTCAACTGATAATCATAACATAATTGATGGTAAGTGGAACGACTTGTTGCAAAATATTCAAAAGCTCTGGTTATTAAATCTGGAGAATACACAGCACAGCCAACAGTATGATCTCCCATAACATTTAAATGCTCAAACATTACTTGAGTTTTATGATCCTTATCTTCAACTTTCAGATATCTAAGGGCTTCATTTAAAGATGACTTAGTACAAAGGGAAGTGATTCTGTTATTTGCCAGAGATTTAATAGTACATTTTGAACCAAAATGAAATGCTTCGAACGACAAACTTTGATTAATTATTAGCAAAAATAGTGGAACACCACAATTAAATATTTTAGATTGGATGAAAATTGAATTATTTTGCTTGTATGAAATCAAATCATTATAAGTTGATAAGTGTTTTTCGATTTCTTTAAAATTTAAATTATCAATTATTTTATATTCTTTTAATTCATCTTTTCTGATACCTCTTTTTGAAGAAGAAGTCTTTCTCGTTTTAGGCAGTGGAGAGGATAGACAACTTTTAGATATATTTGGAAACACTGATGGAGAATGAATCGGTGTCAATTTACCACGACATAATTTAAACTCTGCATCATCTGGCCAATGCAATTTACAAACAACGGTGCATTTTGTTACGGTCCAATTTAAATGAGGGATGCTCATAAACCATTTAGTTTTTTCACATACTTCACGAGGGAATTTATACACAGATACATTACAAACTGAAGACTTATAATTTGAGGAACAGTTTGGAACACAACAATTTAAAGGCATTCTAAATAATTTAAATTAAATTTACTTGAAGAATAGCTATAAATTTTTCTGAAAAAACGTAACTAATATTTTACTCCTTTTCCAACCAAAAAATGCGTTTTTAACAGTTTTAAATCGGCCTTCAGTCAAAAAAATTCCCGCACAGTGTCGAGGCCTTCTATAAAGTAGGCCATGATATATATATATATATATATATATATATATATATATATATATATATATATATATATATATATATATATATATATATATATATATACATATATATATATATATATATATATATATATATATATATATATATATATATATATATATATATATATATATATATATATATATATAGATTATCCAGGTCATATTTTAAAAATCTGGAAAATCATAAGGGTAAAATATGCGGAATATATTTTCCCTTATATTTCTCTTAAGGGGTCGTCCATAAATTACAACATGCAATTTTTGACCGTTTTCGAACTCCCCCCCCCCCTCGTCACAAAATCGTAACACTTAAGAAGAGATTTTTGAATGAGTCGTCACAAAACCACCAACCCCCCTCCCCCCTTATAGCGTGACGTAATTTATGGACGACCCCTAATTTTGCTTTCAGCTGATTTTGTTTTTAATTTTTTTTTAACTTTTTTTAATTTTTGTAAGAGTGATGAGTGAAAAAGCCTATAAAATAAATATATTACAAAAATATCTTCCTAAACTTGTATGAATGGAAAACATTTTTGATATCCGGAAATACTAAAAGTTGAGAAAAATATCCGGAATTCCGGAAATATCTGGAAAAAGATAATCCCTGATATATATATATATATATATATATATATATATATATATATATATATATATATATATATATATATATATGTATATATATATATATATATATATATATATATATATATATATATATATATATATATATATATATATGACTTATATATAATATATATATGACTTATATACAATATATATATATATATATATATATATATATATATATATATATATATATATATATATATATATATATACAAATAGTATTGCGTACTAAAGTAAGCAATCTGACATCATACTGAAATAGCCTGCTGCTGGGGGCTTCAGTACAATCATGGACTGACAAATAGCCTGACTCGCAGTGGAGTGCTGCTACATCAACTGAGAGTTTGGGATGGGGAAGCAATCGTTTTATTCATCATTCTTCGTTTTTTCTTCTTTTTCGAAAAAAACAGTATAGCTTAAGGTAAGCAGAAAAAGTGAGCAAATGCTTATCAAAACACGCTTTAGTAAGTGTATATATATATATACATATATATATATATATATATATATATATATATATATATATATATATATATATATATATATATATATATAAATTGTATATGTGAAGACTTTATATAGTTTGTGATAAATATAATTATTTATATGTAGCTGAGTCTACTATCACATAAACCTGAGAAAATTTATGAAACAAGGATTAAAATAATAATAATAATAATAATAATAATAATAAAACAACACAGATGCTTTGATCAGATTTGATCTAAGCATTCAATTTTGTCTTGATTATGCCAACACCACATATAAAGAAAGATAAAGAATATATATGATTATAATAATAAGTTTGTAACTGAATAAAAAGCATATAGAAATATAAAATAATAAAAACTAAGATATATATATTGTTTCCCTTTTTTTTTAGAGGTGTAGTACCAATGGTTCCACACTTATATATTTATATATATATAAATAAATTATATATATATATATATATATATATATATATATATATATATATATATATATATATATATATATATATATATATATATATATATATATATATATATATATATATAATATATATAAGTATATATATATATATATATATATATATATATATATATATATATATATATATATATATATATATATATGAATATATATATATATATATATATATATATATATATATATATATATATGTATATATATATATATATATATATATATATATATATATATATACTTATATATATTATATATATATATATATATATATATATATATATATATATATATATATATATATATATATATATATATATATATTATATATATATATATATATACTTTGCAGTAATGATGTAGTGGTATATTGCAAGTTACATAAGCTACTTTTAGTTAAAAATATTGACATTGTCAGAAAACATTTAGTATTGATTTATGAATTATAACTAAATTTTACAATCATTAAAACACTTATAATTAGGTAAATTTAATACATTTATTGTTTTGCCATCATGATTTTACTGTTCTAACTTTTGTAAATATATTCATATTGATATAATATACATAATATGCAAATAGTTTTTATAACAAAATTGTTAATTTGTCTGTAATATTATAATTATCTTATATGTAAAATAAATAGTATAAATGGTATTATAAAATTATAAAAGTCATTGTATTATAAAATTATAAAAGTTCAATAAGTTATTTTAACGTAAATAACATTATTATAACAATCCTGTTTACATTTACTAATTGCATATTTCTAGTTAAAACTAATTTAAAAATAGAAAACCTTAAACAATAAATGATGGTAAAAAAGTTAATCTAAACTATGAATTATTATTAAATATTATTAACCTTTTAAAATGGCATACTTAAAAGCTTTGATTATTTAGGGTTGACGACTAGTTGTCAACCCTGATCAGCACCTGACAATTTGTTTTGGAGCTATTTTTCTAATTCTGTAGATATTAACAAAAATAAAAAAAATGTGCAAATGCGACAATTATCAAATTTTTGAGTATTAGCGACATTCAGACTATTATTTTATTAACAAAGTTTCATTAAAATAAACAGTTGTTTTTTACTGAAATTTTGCAGTTCGACAGCGTTTTTTTTAAAAAGCTCAAGAAATAAATAATTAATATACAATTTTAACATTTACAACAACAGTAACATCAATACAAAATGCATTTGAATAATATTTAAAAGCTAAGAAGTAAAACATAAGCGAATAGTACGCAAGAAAAAAAAAAAAAAAAAAAAAAAAATTTATTAAGTCTCTGTGACTCAGTACTTTTAACTGAGACATAGGAATCCCAACTTTAATACAAATAAAGTTGGTCTGTTGTCTCAAACCCGTTAACATATTTTGAGCTCAACATATTTTGAGTAGCTTATAAACCTACAACAATATCTGTTGAGCCTTGAGATGTCAACGGGTAATCTTCTCTACTACTTCTACACCAAATAGAAGTACAAAATTTTATTCGAAAGCGATGTGTACAACCAAATCAAGAAAATTTTTCACACCCTACCTTGACACCATCTCACTAAAAATTTTCGCACCCCACCCTGATACCACCTCGCAGAAAAGTTTTAAGTTAAAAAAACTTTTTACGTCTATATTTTTCCACGATTCAGATTATTTTAGGTCGACAGATTTTTTTTTTTTTTAAAGATGGAACAGTGGTAACGGAAAGGTTAAGGCGCCTTAGCGCCAGAATTTTACTCATGATTAGCGTCCTTTACTCACGAGTAAAAGTTTTTTGTACACCACTGTTTTTATTTTGTCATATGCACTTGAATTAATTTATTTATAAATAATTTTTTTACGATATACGCAAAAGAAATTTTAAGAATTACATACCCCTGTAAAAGCTTAAACCAGCGCAGAAAAATTTATATAAACCAACATTTGCACAGCCACTAAAGCTAAAACTTTCACCTAAACAAAAGCTTTTACTAATAATAAAGTCTAAGCTTCTTAGCTAAATTAGAAAAATTGACATTAAAACAGTTAGAAAATCGACTTTATTCCCGACTTGAAAAAATTATTTTTGGGTGGTAAGATTAGCTAATGCCTATGCCTGAACCAAAATCCAACCTGCACTTAATCAAAACAAGCCTGCACCTAAACTATTAAGAGAGAAGTTACAAATGAACAGTTTTTCAAAGTTTTTAGATAAAATGGCGTGATGAAACTGGAAGTAGAAGATTTAGAAGAAAACGAGCCATCATTTTTTAAAATCAACAGACCAACCAATCAACAAACCAACCAATCAACAGACCAATTAACTCATGAATTACAATGCCGAACTTTCACAAGCGACTTGAATCAGATTCTTTAGTATTTATAAATGAAATATTACCAACGATTAGTGAAATAATAAAAAATAAAAATAAAATACATGCACAGAAAGTTTCACTGACTCTTTTATTTGAAATGGAAAAAGACACTGTAACTGAAAATGTTTAAAGTGAAGGTGAAGCTACTAAAACTATAAAACAAACTGTTTACCTAACATCTGGTACAACACCGATTAGTAATACAAATGATAATAAAAAGATTAAAAAAGCTTAAAAATCCTCCAGCAAAAATTATTGAACTGATTAAAGATTTTTAATCAAAGGTAGTGGATGGTGTTTGAGCCAATACATAGTATTAAAGTTGTTGGGAGGTAAAAAAGCTACTTCCCAATGGGCACAAAACGTGTTTAAGACGTTTAAAATACATCTTAAAACATATTAATACATATTTTATAACGTCTTAAACACGTCTTTTGCCCACTGGGTTTCTTTACTTTGTCATTGTAACTATTTTTAGATTGTTAAAACTGTTAGTTACATTTAAAGAAATAGTCTGCATTAAAAAACCTTTTTATTTTTCATACAGAAAATTCATAATGGCGAAGAATGTGATAACTTTGACCATTAAAAATGATGTTTTTGAAAGATCATAACTTAATAAAACAAAAGTAAAATTGAAAATACTTATGTAAATATGTTGTATTACATTATATTATACTACGGATAGCCGGTAGGGTTTTCATAAATCACTTATTTCTAAGAGATATCATTTTTTGTGAAAATTTCGTTTTTTCCTAAAAATGTTAATTCAAATTTGAAACTAAATTAGATTTTCTAAAGAAATTTGGTGTTTTATGTAAAATCTATGGGTCATTCACAGTACACAGTAATAACTTAACGTAAACACTACTTCAAAATTTCAAATGTCTAGTCAAGTCCTTAATTCTATCTCGAGTTATCATGTTTTGAGTTAATAATAATAATTGAACATACTGCCTTCATTAAAGTGAATAATAACTTAATTTATACCCATTTGTATGGTTTCCTGCCAACAAATACAGTTTTTGCTAACCTTAACCTCATGAGTCCATTTAGTGCCTTATTTGCGTTCTCGGTTTTCAATGTAAACATTTATTTGGAGGGTTTGTAATCTTTTTGGCCCTTGGACCAGTTCTTGCACCAACTGTAGGTATCTGGAGGGCATAATTTATGACAATTTAGCGAATTTTCTTTGATCCAAGAATTCTTTTTTTTTTACTTTTTCAGGTGTTTTTATGTTCTTATTTTTATTATTATCTTTTTGAGCTTCCATTGCGTTAACTATTAAAGCAACCTAAACTTAAAGAACAAATTTTTGTAAATAAATTGAGTGTTTTAGTGTCTTTTTTCATCATTTTTTGTTATCATTTTTGACGTTTGTTGCATGAAAATAAGCATATCAAATGGTGAAATTCTACCAAAAAATGTTTTTCTTTTGATCATTAAATACATTCCAACCACCTTATTTATAGTACAATATATCTTTTTAAATGAAAATTATTATAACAATTTATTAAAACAAATTTTCATCAAAGGGAATCATTTTATATAATATTTACAGTTTCAATTTTTTACTGGTGTACCACCTAAAAGGGAAAAAGTCTTTAAAGCAGTATCACCCCATAAGTATTTTTTGACAGTTATTGACGTAATTATTTATTTCTGATAGGTTCCACTTGTTTTTGATTTTTTTGCCACTTTCCGTAGTTTGTACTATTCCAACATCGTATCTTGCCTGTCTTCTTGCAAAAAAAGTAACAAACTCTGAATAAAGCTTATTTGCCTGTTCAGAGCAATCGTTACTACAAATATTTGGCGAACAAAATCAAAGTTTAAAATTGGTCGATAAAGCCAAAAAAAAGATAAAGGATAGTTCAGCCAAGGTTTATCATTGTCTTTACTCAAATTTACCAGACTGAAAATAAACCACGAGTTCCTACCAACCAACAGTGACAAGCTAGGTGATTTCTCCTGGGTGAAGTCTAGATCTTTCAGAAAGATAGGGTTTTCAGACTTCTCATAGTGTGTAGAAACAGGTTGTGAGAAGAGAACGTTAGCAACTTTTTCTTTCTCATCATTTTTGAGTTCTTTATATTTAAGACACAATGATATCAATGTTTGATTTAAACCTCTTATGTCTCTCCATTAATTTAAATATTTCCTCAATTCCCTCTAGTATATCATTAGCTCCTGGATCAGAAGAGCACAGTATAAAATATAAAAATAAATTCTCCCATTCTACTGATTTCTTTTTTTAAAAAGCTTAAAAAAGCTTAAAAATGCTCCAGCAAAAATTATTGAACTGATTAAAGATTTTTAAACAGAGTTAGTGGATGGTGTTTGAGCCACTACGTATTATTAAAGTTGTTGGGAGGTAAAAAAGCTACTTCCCAATGGGCACAAAACGATTTTAAGACGTTTAAAATACATCTTAAAACATATTAATACGTATTATATATATATATATATATATATATATATATTATATATTAAGTCTATTGTACTAAATTGGCGAATATACTATATATATTAAGTCTATTATACTAAATTGGCGAATGCATATTTTCAAAATTAAATAGTTTCTTCAATCTGTTTTTCTAGATTTGTTCCTTTAGCTGTAATATAATTAAACCCTGTATTTGACAGAACCTTATGTTTGTGCCGGAATATTTTCCTGTATTAGTTGCAGTTGTGTCAAAGCACAGACCCATTATATAAGTTTTTAGCTCACCCAAAATGTTTATTAAAGTATGATAATAAGACTTTTCAATAACCTATTCCATTGGCGGAATGCAAAGACGTTTCATGTCACCATTGATATTTAAAAGAACAGCAATACAATCTCTTTTTTACTTTTTACCGTTAGTAATATCTTGCAAAATATCTCCATCAAAGTGTGCGATAATTGGAAATTTACTTTAATAAGACTTAATGCTTTATTATAGCTTCTTGATATTTAGCTGCACTTGTACTTATTGCTTTCTTTTTTGCATGTTAAATGGTGGATTCTGAAAACAAGAAACCTGTCAAACTACCCCCGTAGTAACTACTATATCAGAGATCAAGTGCCCCCAGAAGTAACTACTATGTCAGAGAGCAAGTGTACCATATATCTAGATAAAATATTTTTAGAAACACCTGTAATCGTAACTTCTTTAGCAACTTTTTTAGATAATACTGATAAAGCACTTACACCTAATTTAATTTCGTTCAAATTAATATCAGCAAAATTAAAATTCGGTAAAATTAAAAAACTAAATTTTGTTGATTATTATAGTTTTTTTATTGTCATGAAATATGCCGCTGTCATATTCTCCATCAATCTACGGTTTTCTTTATAGCTAAAAGAATGCAGTTCTGAGGAATGTGCCGAGCATGCTTACATCATTTCATCTTGGGAAGCACAACCAACAAAGTTTTGGTTGGCGTGTTTTTGTCTAACAGACGCCTGAATTAATAAGATAAAATTTAGATTTTATAGTTTCTATTTTTCAAACTTTAATTACTTGGTTAACATATTGAATAATAATATTTAATCAATTTAATGTTTTAACCATACCTGTAATAAAAATAATGAAAAACTTTCCTCATTTGTGGAAAATATGCTTCAGAAAATTTCTCTAACAATTTTTTATCTTCAAATAAAAATGTCATCTGGTTTTT